TCGTCGTATTGAACATTGTTACTTTGAAATTGACAGACGAGCTTTCAAACCTTGGACTAAAACTACAATGGCGTTGAAATACCATTAAACTATTGTGAAAACCACTAAAGGCCTTGGCTTCATTGCCACTTTCAATTACTAACAGATTCGCAGAAAATTTCAATGAAACAGTAATTTAAGAATTAATCAAATAAATCTTGTATACTGACTGCCACGCTACAAAAACTAAAATCATAAGACGAAATAAACCACGAATCTTATTTTATGAACCGGATTTTCGCTTTAATCTTTATTGGATGTTTAAGACAAGTCATTTTTTCAGTAACTTTTTTTAGTTTGTATTTCTGAATATAAACGAGGACAAAATTTACCAGAAAAGTTCAAAACCTCCATGCTATAATAAAATTGTATCACCAGGCTATTTCAGTGTGGCTTTTTAAGCTTGTGTCGTGATTCTCAGATCCACATTTTGTGAGAATAAAATAAAAATGACCTTGGAAGTTCATTGAAACTTTTTCACATATATAATTATATAGAATATTCAATGTGAAACAATGAAATTATTTGAGGAAAATTAAGTAATAAAATAATTTGTTACAATACACCTCATAACTTTTACTAACCCCCCTTCTATTACATATATATATATATATATATATATATATATATATATATATATATACACACACACACACACACACACACACACACACACACACACACACACACACATTTATACACATTATGCACAGCTTGATATATAAATCTTGACATTATTAACTACAACAATTAAAATTCAGTAGTTTTTCGTCTCTCTTCATAACCTTCGAGTTACTTATATTATATATTCTTTTTTAAACTCTAAATAGATAAAGATTAAATTTATTATTAAAATAGTTGGCCCGTGCGAATAATTCGCGGAAAATTTTATTTAGTGAAGAAATAGAAAAACAATATGGAAATAAGTAGTTCCTATGTATTATGTAAGGAAGGAATTAATATTTTTTTCTTGGTCGATTACAATATTCCATTTAACATAATAGATCGAAATATTTGTACAAATTACTGTGCTAGGACCTATTTTTAAAAGCTGACTGGAAAGATAATAAAAGTAATAAAGACAAAATAAATTCTCGATCCTGGGATTTTCTAAATTATTAAAAAATATAAAATGTAAGAACAAACAAATGCCTTTAAGAAATAATAAAGTTAATATATCAGATAGGAAAAAAACGTGTAGTAGATTATTCTACTCCTAAATGCAATATCTTTAAAGAGGAAGACATTGTTAAGTATACCAAAACTAATCTTTGTTAATAATTGTCCTATTTTAACGATTTGTTTGTGTTTTCCAGATAATTTAGTAATCTTTCTAATTATCATCGGTACAATCGGAAAAAATGCATACTTTTTGAGTTATTCGCAAATAAAGTTTCTTTTCCTTAATAATTTTCCCCAGAAATTTCAGGGGAGTAGGACTATTTTTCACATGTGAAGGAGAAGAATATCTTCGAAATGAGTGGTCAATCATTGGATTTGATGTAGAATTGACGAAGTTACGGAGTACCGCCAAAAAAAAACCTTTTTGAAATAATTTATAGTATAAATAATAATATTAGTAACTAAATAATAAAGGTTTCCAACGGTTTATCATATCTATATTATATTACTAATCTTATTTCCACAAATTTGTTTTCATCTTCCGAAAAATATCTACGGTTTTTTTTTTTCCTTTCGATAATTATAAAATTCTTTCATAGTTTAAAATTATCCCTTTTTATATTACTACCGACAATTTTTGAAAATTTGGAATGTAATTCTTGACATGCTATTTCAATTTGGTAAATAGTTACATGATAATGATAGATTTAATTTTATATCGATACGAAGAGTTTAATCAAAATCGGTAAAATCAGTTTAGAAAAAATTATAAAATGTGTAAAATCGATAAAATAAAATATCGTTTCTGGTTAATCGATTTTGACGACCAATACTTCATCCAAAGCTACTTTTAATACATGATTTAAATGTCCAATGACTTTTCGCTTTTAAGATAGGCTGTTCACACACACAGACACAGAGCCCTTTGCTGAAAGAGTTCTTTGGACTCAAGAAACGTTGAAAATGTGTTAACGTTGAAAAATCGGATTCGAAATTTTCCACAACCGTCATATTCATTAAAATATTTACTGAACGGATATTAAATCTTAATATATTTAAATAATAATAATGAATCCTATATATTATTTCTAAAAGGTGTTTTTTTGTCAGTACGCCATAACTTCGTCAATTCTTCATCAAATCCAATGACTGACCACTCATTTTGAAGATATTCTTCTCCTTCACATACGAAAATTAGTCCCATTCCTCTCAAATTTATGGGAAAAAAAGTTATGAAGAAAAAGAAACTTTATTTGCGAATAACTCAAAAACTATGCATTTTTTTCTTGATTGTACGCATGATAAATAGAAAGATTACTAAATTACCTACAAAAAAAAAAAAAAAAAAAAAAAAAAAGATCGGACAATTATTAACAAAGATACAGTCCATTAATTTTGGTATACTCAATATTGTCTTTCTCTTAAAAGATATAAGGTAATTGTTTTTTCTTACATTTTTTTTTTTTAATAATTTAGAAAATCCCATGATCGGGGCATTATTTTGTCTTTATTACTTTTATTATCTTTCCAGTCAACGTTTAAAAATAGGTCCTATTAAAGCAATTTGTGCAAATATTTTGGTCTATTATGTTAAATGGAATATTGTAATCGACCAAGGAAAAATATTAATTCCTTCCTTACATAATACATAGGAACTGCTTATTTCCATATTGTTTTTCTATTTCTTCAATAAGCAAAATTTTCTGCGAATTATTCGCAGGGGCCAACTTGTACATATATATTCCAAAGAGGTCACAATCATTGCAAAAGAACAATAATCGATTTCCTCAGGCAAGGTCGCTGAGTATGAATTGTATAATTATCCACTTGCACCGAACTAGGGCTAATGAATGAAGAGCTCTAAAGCTGCCACCTGGTGATGCAATAGTCATCATTTAGAATTCCAATGTCGGTCACTGGATCAATCCGACAGCATTCATTCATCCATTCATTTGAATGGCCTATAGACAACAAATTTCTTGTTGTTTTTTAGGAAATTACGGAAATTTAAAAAAAAAACCATTACAATATTCACAAAAAAGTGTATACTTTTTGAGTTAGTCGGAATTTAATTTTACCATCCCTCTTAACTTTTTTTACAGCTTCTTTTAGTTGAAGTATGTTATATTGAAAAATTTGAAGGGCGTCGAAAAAATGACTTTAGCGAAGTTTCATTGAAATGGGTACATTCGTTTAGGCGCTACAGTCTATAGCAACGCACGTAGTATAGTAGAACATATATAAGAGAAAGTAGTGGACAGGATTCAATAAAATTGACACGACATTATCTTGTCACCAATATCTAATCTACCTTTTATCCAACTTTGAGCCAAATCGAACGAGCCCTTCCTGAAATATTGGCATATCTAAAAAAATACGTTTGCGCGTGCGGAAGCGGAAGTGCTGAATGGAATTTGATAAAATTGCTATGGGACCATCTAGGCACCAATCTGCACAATCCTTGAAAATTTCATGAAAATCGGATGAACGGTGCAAGGTGATATGCCCGTCACATCGATTTGACTACAGACAGACAGACACCAAACCAAATTCGATCCTTTATGTCTGAAACGTAAAACGCGAGTGGAATTTTTCGATTCTGAGCACAATGTTTTTTTTAAGCTCCCACGAACACAATGCTTCACTACCTTCGGTAGCGAGGAAGCAAAAAAAAAAAAAGATACATAGTTTAGTATACTAGCTAATACTTCATAAATTAGTGCGGTTAAGATTTTTTTTTTTTTTGGAATTAGGGACGCAAGATTATTTATTTGACGAAAGTCGAAAAGATGGCATGGACATCTCCTCTTTTTATAAGGTTTTCGTGGGGACTTACATTATAAGATTCACAATTAGTACACAGATAGTTGACGATACCAGCTTTTCAGAACACAGATTCATTTCTCATCAATTAACGTTTCACCCCAACTCATTTGCAACATAATCTAATTTATGTAAAAATGCTACATAATTAAGGACGATGATTAAGAAATATTGGATAAAAAAATTATAGTGTAATTACAAAAAAAAAAACAGCCCATAATTGACGAAACTATTTCTTCATAGATAGAGATAAAATTAATCGAAAAAAATAAGCTATGACGCCAACTCACTAAATAGATACCACAAGGCCCGGCCATTGCGCCTATCTTGTGGAAATATTTGATCAACACCATTTTCGATTGATAAGTTTATTTTTTGGAGTTTATTCTATAAATTTCATAAGTCAGGTGAAGTGAAAAACCCTTATGGTTCCTCTGAAGTCAGTCATTTAATAGAAAAATAGTATTTTTAAATTTAAAAAAATAAAAGAATAGTTTAAATAGATCATTAATTATAATACTCCTTGGTACAGAATCATTTAAATCAAATGATTAACATCCACATAAAACTTCGTGAATCTTCTTATCGTTACAAATTTTATATCAACTTAATTCTCAGAAACGGGGAGAAGGGCGTTTTCTTCTTAAATCAATTAATTTAATGAAACACTAAAAACTCATAAATATCCATTTCCACATGAATCGTAAAAAAAAAAAAAAAAAGTGGCCTACAAAAATATTGGGCCGTTTGACATATATAACCTCGATATTTTGACATGTTGGGAGTGAGGGTCACCCCAAACGGCCAACATTTTTCTCGAATTTTTGATCAAATTATCTTACTATTCAAGTGGAAAGCAAATGGGAGTTTTTAAATCCTCACATATATTATTACAGTAAGGCTTGAAATCGGTTTTGTACCAAATACAATGAATTGGGTACCGTTGGATTCACAATTTCACCGGGGATTAGCGAATCGTTTTATTCACTTTTGTTTTTCTTTCTAAAATAAATAAAGTCGATACAAATATTTTCGGGGGCTTCAGCCCGATAGATTTTTTTCTCATATATATATGACGATAATTACTTTGGAAATAAAAAGAAACTAAATACCTATACGAAATGTTGCTTAAGTGATGCTTAAAGTCTTATTAAATGTAATTAAACGAACAATAATATTTTTTTAAATTGTTTCCATAAAACCGAGTTATATTTTTGGGAGGAAATAGGAAGATCTTCAGCCCGAAAGAAACTCCCCTCCCCCATGGATCCGCCAGTAAGTCAATGGAATGTATCCAAAACATGTGTTGCTTCTCTTGTTGCTCGAGAATACTGTAATTACATATGTAAAAAAAAAAGAAATAAGTATCTGTATTTGTTCTAAACAAACATGAAGTCGAGACAAACGAACTGCTTTATCACGAAAACAAATACTGAGACTTTTATTTATGGTATTATTTATGTAACATTTTATTTTATAAACGTTTGAGGCCACTATATATTAAAAAAAAAAAATGCTTTTCTGTTAAGTTTTTTACTTTATATCGAACCGTAACCTATTTCGCCATCTCTTTTCGCGCACAACGACATTGGACGTCTACTCAAGGTGCAGCGAAACGATCGCCCTTGGCGACAGAAACTCATTGTCGTGAGTTAGTGGAAGACAAAACCTTGTCATCACTCGAAGTGGGGAGACACGTGAGGTCTGCGATCCCAGTGGTATAAGATATGGGTTCACAATCGCTGTGAATATAATCACGTGTTTCCGATTTTGTATTTAATTTAAGGCGAGTTTAGTTTTTTTTTTGTTTTTTCTTCTGTCTCCTTCAAGTGAGAGTTGTGATAAACAATCTGACCTATATAAATAACAATAAATCATTCAGGACATCTTATCAATGAGATGACTGCAACAAGTGATATGTGTGTCTTGGTCCCTTTTTTTTTTCATTAGTATTTGTTTCACTATTGTGAAGTGTAACACTAGAAAAATGATGGTACAAGAAGAGTTTTATTTAATTTATTTTGTGTGTAAGTGATGAAAATAGATTTTGTTTCAGTCTATATCGCATTATTAATAAAAATGGTTTCGCCGGCTAGAATCCTGGCAATATTTCCGTTCAGTGCTCGCAGTCACTTCAACATGTACGAGGTGCTTCTAGACGAACTACATGAACGAGGGCATCACCTCACTGTCATAAGTCATTTTCCTAAACAATATCCACTAGAAAGGTACAGAGACATCAGTCTCGTAGGTGCTGCAAAGAGCTTGAATGCCAATATGTCCTTATCAGATTTGTACAACTTTGGACTTTACGAAAATCTTAAGCTCCTCAACGAACAGATAGATGATTATGTTCCTATATTTGAAGTACCTGAAGTGAAGGACTTGATGGATTCTGAAGCAACTTTTGATCTAATAATTACGGAAATATTTAACAGTGATGTGTTTTTAGGTTTCGTTCATAAGTTCCGTTGTCCTTATATTAGTATGAGCCCATGCCCTCTGATGCCATGGGCTTACCAGAGAATAGGCCTGCCTATTAAGCCCTCTGTAAAACCGATTGTATTTTCTGATAGATCATATCCCATGAGTTTAATTGACATATCTCGAAATACACTCGATTGGATATTTGCGCTATGTTATTATAAGTACGTGATGAATCCCAAGTCAGAAAGAATAGCAAGGCAATATTTTGGAGATATACCTCCCCTGGAAGAGCTTGCTTCGAAAGTAAGCCTCATCTTAACCAATACTCATTCTAGTCTTCATCCGTCGATGACACATACAAATAGATTAATTGAAGTAGGAGGATTACACATCAAACCAGCGAAGCCTCTTGAAAGTGTGAGTAAAACTTTTCTCTTTTAAATGAATTTTGTTTTATTTGTATTTATATTTTATGTTTCATTAGAGCTTGGAACAATTTTTGAACGATTCTGAGAATGGAGTGATAGTTTTCAGCATGGGGAGCATGTTCCGGGCAGAAACTTTGCCGAAAGAAATTTTTAACTTGTTTCTGAAAGTATTTTCCAACTTAAAACAAAATGTATTATGGAAATGGGAATCGGGTACAACACCTAATATAACTAATATTAGATTTATGAAATGGCTACCTCAGAGAGATGTTTTAGGTAAGGCAGGCGATTATTTTGAAATAATTATATAAAATTATTTATCGAATTGAATTGAATTGATAATTTTAAATATTTGTATCTTGACAGGGTTCTTTTTGTATTATAACAATAAAATCAAATCATATAATTGATAAATGATTTTTTTTTTATTTGATAATATAAAATATTTTATGAGTACCTATCAAGGAAACAAGAATTCAAATCTTTTTAAAAGAATGTGCTCTCTGTTCCTTCTTATCTAAAAACAAGCTGATTTATGTCATTGGTGTGATAATGGATAAGAACTGAAATATCACTATTTTAAACATGTATAACAAATAAATATTTGTAAAAACAAACAAATAAAATGTTTCAAACAATTGAAAACAATTCTAAATTAACTGCATTTACTACAAAACCATTGATAATTAAATAATGGAGGCCAGAAAAAAAACAGGCTATATTATAATTTACTAATAATTATCTTAATTTATTTTTAATATACCAATATTTAAAATTTTCCTGTGATTATTATAAACAGTAAGTTATTTATCTAATACTTTTGAGATGGGTAAGTAGTCAACAATTAAATTATAAGGATGAAACCAAATCATCAGGAATTTCAGTCAACATTTTTTTAATCACTTAGCCGACATTTCAACTCAAACATATAGGCCATCATCGGCACTAAAAATTACAAAATATAATATAACATTAGAGAAACAATAAATATTAAAGTGCAATAGTAATAACAGGGAAGAATAACATTAACAAGGTAATAATAATAAGAATAAATAAGTAAGATAATAATAATAAGAGTAATGAATAAAATTATAAAACTGATAAATATAAAATTTCTCTTATACTTTTACAATTATCATTTTTCTAATTTTATTCTTTACTCTTATTTTGTTACTGTTATTCTTCAATGTTATTACTCTTATGCTTGTATATTTATTATTTCTCTCATGTTATTTTATATTTCATAATTATTAAATAAGGTATTGAAATTCTGAAAAATCTCAAATTAAGGGTATACAATAAAGCTAGTTCTAATATATGGCTGTGAGACCTATACACTAACCAGCACTTTAGAAAAGTGTTGAAAGATTTGAGAGAAAAATCCTCCTCACGATAACCGAAGCAATCTGGTGTTAGAGAGAGTTCTAACACATGGAGAAGACCAATAAAGAACTGCTTGCAAAAACTGGTCAATCAATATCTCATGATATGAAGGAATGGAGTTTAAGATGGGCCAGGCATGTAGCTCGTAGCAATCCATCTAGAAGCGTCTATGTAACAATGAATGCCTCAATAGAAGGCAAAAGACCACGTGGAAGGCCAAAAAGCAGATGGATAGATAGAATCAACAAAGATGCAACAGAGCTGCGTGCAGATAAATGGAAAGAAATAGCCCAAGATAGGCAGAGATAGAGAAGGCTTGTTAAGGCGGCAAAAGATCTACATAGTCTGTAATGCCAACAGAAAAAAAAAGAAAGTTTTTAGACCTAATAATGACCCCCATGTTTCGGTCAAAACATCAGCTAACTGATTAAAGAAATTTTGACAGAAATTTCTGACTATTTTGTTTTATCCCTATAATTCATCTAATATGTTTTAAATAAACAAATAAATAAAATTGCAGCAAATTTATTTATAAATAAATTATTTACCAATCTTAAATAGAAACAGTTTTGTTTGATTGAGAAGATATTTTTAAGTATATTGTATTATTTGTGCTTTGCTCCTTATACTATCAAAAAATAATAATTTCTGACTTTACTTTCTCGATATTATGTAATAATATTTTTTTTTTAAATAAAAATAAGATTGGTTGGGGTGTTCAGTAAAAAATAAAAAAAGTAAAAATAAATAAATAAAATTGCAGCAAATTTATTTATAGGATTTACCAATCTTAAATAGGAACGGTTTTGTTTGATTGAGAAGATATTTTTAAATATATTGTATTATTTGTGCTTTGCTTCTTATACTATCAAAAAATAATAATTTCTAACTTTACTTTGTCGATATTATCTAATAATATTTTTTTTTAAATAAAAATAAGATTGGTTGGGGTGTTCAGTAAAAAATAAAAAAAGTAAAAATAAATAAATTATATTTAATACTTGGACTGAAACGTGGGGAAAAATAAAAAATTATTAATTTATTTTTAATATTTTCCTTGGATTCTTTAAACTTTGACAATTTTACTTTGATCACAAATATGATTTAGCAAACAAATTAATATTTAATACTCTGATGATAAAAAATTAAATTAAGCTTCACAGATATGTGAGGAAACAGATGAGTAGTATGAATAAATATTTTTATAAACATTATTTGAAAAATTCACTGTTTTAGCTCATAGAAATGTGAAGCTGTTCATTTACCACGGAGGATTATTGGGTACCTCAGAAGCCATTTACTGCGGCGTGCCGATCCTCGGACTACCACAGTTCGGAGACATGGGACATAACATTGCATCCCTCGGGGAAGCAGGGATGGCCATGTCCCTAAAACATTTGACCGAAAAGTCTCTGACCGAAGCAATCACAACGATGATTGAAACACCAAAGTAAGACAAAACTTGAAATCATGAAAAAGTAATAGTGGAGCTACAAAATTTCATTATTTTATAAATACCAAACAAGAATTCATTTTATCTAAATGATTCCATTTACTTACAAGTATTTCTCTGACAAAATTGAATTTTATGCATTATAAAAAAAAAATAAGACATATTTATAACAAAAATATAATTTATTTATAACATCACATACATACATATAAATTATGTAAAACAATAGTTTTTCTGAATTCAGATCATTTTTATTTTTTTTGTTTTCATATCTGTTTAAACTTTATTAATTAATGATTCATTGATAAAAAGAACATTTAATTTAACTTTGTACTATTTAATAAATGCACAATTTCAACTATGTAATATTTACAAAATTTGAAAGTGGGTAAATATAAGGAAAACATCTTTTAAACTAATTATTACAAATATGAGAAACTACACTCACTTATATAATTTATACTTGAAGTAGTACTCTTGCCTTGTTCATTTGGAATGGATTCTCATAGTCCTAATCATTTTTCAGTTCTTGATTATTTCACCTTAAACAAAGATTAAAATTGATTAAAAGAGCCTTTAAGTTGAAAAAAATGACGAACTTCAATTCCAACATTTCTATTATTTATTTTAGTGATATTTGTAGTGGGAAAATTTGTATATTTATTCACAGTTCTATATTTTAACACTGCAATCACCTAATCTATAATCAACTTACTCACTGTCTGTATAAATCTCTGTATTATAAAAAAAAAAAAAAAATAGAAGTAGGGTAGCTCGGCAGTATATTACTGAGTTTTCAATGCTAAAGATTCCAGGTTCGAATCACGGCTAATGGCAGAAAAATTATTTATTCTGCTTCATTGGCCGTGGGACGACCATGGGTAGGTATACCCTATTAAAATAATTAATTAAGGGAAAAAAACCTGGCAGTTGAGCATGATCTTGGTCAAATGACCTCCTTGCACAACCGTTGATCTAGAAACAGCTCTTTCCCTAAATAGTACTGAACCCAAGACCCTTCATGGGTTGTAGTGGTAGTCTTTTTTTTTTTTTTTGTATATATAATTTTTTTTTTAGTGTATGTCATATTTTATTTTATTTTAGTATTAGGAGCGTAGGAGGTTACAGGAACTCTCCTATTACCTCTATAATTAGCAATAATTACACAGCTGTTAATTTAATTAGATATGTGTTGAACTCTTGTTACCTAATACAAATAATAGTACAAAATAAAGATTTTTTACTAAAAATTTGTATGGGAAATGGTATTTATTCATGTGGAGGTGGAAGTTTGATTTTACCTAGGTGACAGCAGTTATTTTTCGACCTAGACCATTTCCTCTTGACTACAATATATTAATTATTACAATACATATAATATTATATTGCGATATAATTATAATTATTATGAAATAGAAATAGAAAGCACAATATAACAAATAATGCAAATATTAGAAATAAAAGACTTAAATTATTGTTAGGCTTATATGAAGCTGCAAAAGTTGAATATATATAATGGTTACAAATTGGCAATAAGAATAATTATAATTATATAATAACATCAATTTCTTCTGGCAAAGTTGAGCTATTATAAAATTTTTGTGTTTTTATTACCTCTAGAGAATAAACAAAGTTTGCCAATCTCCAGAAATGTTATTATTAGATGAAGCTACTCATGAAGTTTTAGGCGGATGTTAATAATTTGATAAAAAGGGGTTTGCACCACGGACTATCTCTTCAAATATAAAATATAAAAAAAAAAAAAATACCAAAATGCAACACAGAGTTTTCGCAAAAAAAGAGTTATTCCTGATTTAAAATAGGATGACAAAATCATTTTATTTTAACTAAGTATCACTTTTGAAATTTGATTTATTTAACATCCTTATGTCAAATTATCTAACAGTTTATAAAAAAAAAAAAAAAAATTCCAGAAAACTAGGGAGAAATTAAATAATTTAGCTCATATTAAATAACTAAAAATTGTTTTTCAGGTACAAAAAGAGGGCCATGGAGCTTTCAGAACTATATCGTGACCGGCCTGAACACCCTCTCACGAGAGCAGCGTATTGGGTAGAGTACGTGATAAGGTACAAGGGCACAAATCACTTTGTTCAATCGCTACCACTCCAGAAAGAACTGGTAATAATACCAACTATTGCCATTGTTATCATTCTGATTTTTTGTTGACATTATTATTCCTGTCTTAAACCAAGAGCATGTTATCAAAGAAAAACAATTATATCAATGTAATTTTAGTTTCATAAATGTTAAGAGTATGTTCCTAGATTAAAGAATATTTATCCAAAACTTAATTATAATCATTTAAAGAAACACAACAAATAACCTGATAAACACATGATAATAATAAGTGTAGCATAACTTTTTGCCTCTACAAAATGATATATAAATGGGTAAAGGTATATTGATCTTGGCAGAGACAAAATTTAATATAATAGTTCCTGGGTATTCATAATCATTTTCCATTTAATCTTGAAATTAAATTTATTTCAGAGCAAAGATTATTTTAAAACTATTTATCGAGTGTTGGGGTACTATTTAGTACCGAAACGATCAGCTGATATTTTATAATCGCGAACCATATTCTATATATATCTAGGAGTATATGGTGAAGGACTAAATAATAGAAAAATGATGAAATTAAGAAGCCATCATAAGAGATCAAGCATTAAATACATTTTCCGTTCCCAGCTGGTCAATGGACTGATTATAAATAGACCAATAAGATTTAATGATGATGAACCTATCTTATGTCTTAGTCCTAGGTAGTCTTGGGAACTGCTAATGGCTAAATATAAGAGTAGGAGTAAATTACAGTAAAATCGGATTATAAAAATCTTTAAAGGACCAAGGAAAATGTATTGTTTTAACTGCAGCAAAATTGTTAAATCTACAAACATATATTTGGAATGTTTTCCAACATGGAATGTTTCACCTTTACATCTAAAAGGTTTACCCGGTTTTAATCAATGAACCTGAAACTATTAAAAAATTGCTTCTCCTCAAACTTGATGTTCATTTATTTTAAGATTTTCTTTTCAAAGTCAGATCCCTCACAAACATTTCTTCAATTTTTTCTCTAGATTTTCAAATTATACATATATTGTTATAACTGGCATGAAAAAAAATTTTTTTTATTAAAGCATGGATTGTTTTATATGGAATACCATTCTATCTACTATTGCTATAAAAGAATTTCACTGTATTTAGCACAGACCAGAGATATGTTGCGTTTATGTTAAAACCTGAAAATGTATTTATCCATTTTTAAAACATTAACATTATAAAAGCATAGTAATGCTTTTTTTAGGCATTATAATCAGCACAACTCTACAATGAAGACACCAAAACTTTCCATACACAGACAAATTCTGTCATTATATTGGGTTGTTCGGAAAATAATACAGGATTTTGATTTAAAAAGAAAAATTTTTCAGTGTTTTATTTAATTAAAATAGTCTCCACTACTATCAATACATTTTTGCCATGTTGGCAACTTTTCCATCCCCTCGGAATAAAATTTCCCTTTTTTAAAATTGATAAACTCCAAAAATGCATTTTTTTAGTTCCCTTTATCCATTAAATTTAGTCACATAAGTAGAGGTCCAGGTGTCTTCAAAAATGATAATCTGTAGCCAAGAGGTTCGGAGAGTAAGGCGGATGTAGCACAGTTTCATATCCAAGCTCCAAAAGTTTTTATGACATCACACATGAGACATGTGTCCGGGAGTAGTCATGCAACAAAATAGGCCACTTCGGATTGACCAAAGATGGCTTCATTATTGCCAATTTCTGATACATTGCATTAATTTGGTTACAATACGATTCAGCATTGATGGTTTTTCCAGGATTTAAGAAGCTGTAGTGTATCAAACAGTAACCATCTTCTTTTTTTTGATGAGTTGGGGGTTTTGGAAAATGTTCTGCTGCTTCACCTTTGTCAAGCTATTGTCCAGAACATCTACTGTTATCGTAAAGTATCCAATTTTCATCACAAGTAACAATCATGAACAGAAAAGAGTCATTTTTGTTTTGGCAAAAAAGTGTAGCACAAACTTCATAATGCTGGTTTTTTTTTGGCAGTTGTTTAATGTGTGGAACCCAACTTTCAAACTTTTTTACCTTTTCCAATCGCCTTGAGGTGGTTATCGAGGATCGATTTGTTAAGGTTGTTTTCCTGCATGTTCTCGAACAGTTGCTCTGGGGTTTTCTTCCACCCAAGCTCTGCATAACATCGTCACCAAGAGAGGAAGTTTCCATGACCGTCTTTGTTTCCAAGGCAGAAGTCTCCCTCCCGAAATTTTTCGAACCACCATTGAACAGTGCACTCATTAATGCTGCTCTCGCCCTAGACTTGACTGATATTTCTGGCCGCCTGTGTTCCATTCTGGCCTAGTTTAAACTCGTAAAACAAGATTATATGAAAATTACGTGCTGACATCTTAAAGACTGAATTATTTCAAAGCAGCGAAATTCTACAGAGGTAGGCAAACATTATCATTTGGAAGAGGATTAATAAGTGTCGACATTCATACTAATGAATAATTCAGTAAACGTAAACAGTTTGTTATGTAGAAGGGGTATTTTAAAGAAAACTCAAAATCCTGCATTATTTTCAGGACAACACAATATTACAAATATTTTGGTTGGCTACATAAATAGACCTATCCATTCCCCTAAAGTTATTATACTCTAGTCATCATAAATGGTTTTGAAACCTGGATGATAAAGGCATCAGAAAGAAAGCTATGAGCATGGGAGGTAAGTGTTCCCCTTGGAATTTATAGCCTAAAGTGTAAGCATGTGTAGTAGAGACTTTATACTATTAGATTGGTAGATTCCCTGAACACCAGAGCTAAGATAAAGGAAATATTGAAGTGGATGGGAACCAGAAGATTTCAGTTGCGTGAAAGGGATAGGAGAGAGTACGGGAAGATGACGAGACAGGCCCAAGTTCTTGCTTGGCCGTAGCATCAAGAATTTATAAGATTTACCTAAAAGGGTGCACAAGTCTGAAAACAACCTCCTTCACTATGATTCCTTTATTTCTATTATATTCAATTACTGAAACTACTCTTCAAGTATCTCATTTAAGTTGAATTCATCTTAAGAAAATACTTAACACAATCACATAATATTTCACTTTCAATGACAAGAAATTTGTATTATTCAGATTAGATCTGACCTATAGACTTTTCTCTCAATTTAAATTCATAAGAGAAAAACAAAAAATAATTAATCAATTGTACTCACAAACATGTCATTTTTACTTATCACAGTTCGTCCCTTGAAGAATCCACTTTTTCAACTTTTCCTTTCTGTAATAAAAATTATGCAAATTATGAATTTATGCCAAGATAACAGTTCATAGAAGAGTTAAGCAGTGTTAGAAATTATGTGACAAAATGTAGAATAAAAAAAAAAGTGGTATGGCAGATACTTACACTTGAATTTTTTCCATAATATGGCTTGTTCTCAATCAGAACTTCTTCGCATCGATCTTGTTCAATAAGATAATCTTTGGCTTCCCACGCCTGAGAACCATCCTTAAATAAGAATATTGCTCTGTTGTCCTCGACCAAATATCTGAAAAATTAAAACTTTAACTAAAAGAATAATCTTTAACATAAAATAAACAATAATATATATTTTATATGTTTTAGGGACAAGCTCAGACAAATAGAAAGAGGGCCTGGAAGAAATAACGTGAGGACCTGCTTATTCAGCTGTGTCTGTTATTTGTGTCACAGCTGGTCTCCAAAATCTTAGCGATATTTGAAAAATATAATATAGTAGAACCACGTTAAACAATAAAACCCCGACTCTGGATTTGGCGCTAATAAGGAAAAAGAAAAAACAATGTAAATAATTTTTATAAATTTATAATTTCCTGGGAAGTCTTTTTTTGAAAAATTATTTGATTTAATTTTTGCTAAACTAGACTCCCTTAATAATTTTATTTGTCAAAAAAATAAAAATAGATTATTTAGATTAATGTTGCAGGGAATTATTCCCATCTTCAGAACATCTGTAAAAAAAATTTATATTATTTTTTTAATTCTGTACTGGCATAAAAATTGTATACGACCTATAAAAAAAAAATGTATGCATTAGAAGTTTTGTTTTATTGAACTTATTAACAATATACTTTAAACCACTCCTTTTTGCCATAAAATAAAATTACAGATTTATTGTGTGGATCCACAAATAAATTGAAGTAAAAACCTAACACGGCAGATTTGAACCATAGCTACAAGTTCTACTCTAAAACAAGAATCCTGCAGGACCAGTCTCAACACAACCTCCATTTTCATTTTCAACAATGTTTAATAAAAAATAATTAATACTATAAATAACTTGTAAATAACATAACCATCCACAATTTTAATTAATATGAAATACCTTCAGTTTACACAGTTGTCAGATAAGTACTAACACTGTCTAACTCACGTTTTGACAAAAAAAGTTATGTAAATAATTCCCGATATGTTTTTCATGTTGAATCAAAGTTAATCATGCATTATCAAACTAAGTTTTAAAGGCATATTGAGGTTGAAATACACTATATAGTATATGGTTATTAGCAACAACTTTATCAGTTTTTTTAATTTTGTTCCTATTGTGAAATCGGGAGAAAAGAGTTAAGCAGTGTCAGAACTTATACGACAAAATTTTGAATAAATAAACATATAAAAATAATTAGAATAATTACCTTTCAGCCTGAATATGATTATTCCATAAGCTTGTCTGCCATAATTTAGTAATAGTTTCTGTCTCTTCTCTGGTCGGATTACCACTAACAATTACAAAAGACATCAAGGTTCTCCCCTTCTTAGTCAGTTTTAATAGTTGTTCTGGATCAGAGCCCTGAATCTAACATTATGTAAATATTAGAATATATACGGAACAAAAGTAATACAATTCCAAATGTGATACCAATTACCTTATTGAAATCTAGAGATGGCTGGGGTCTAAGGTGCTCTGGAAGCTCATCTGGTTCCAGTGGTTCTTCATCTTCCTACAAATTATTAAAATTATAGTTACTAATTGATATCAATTAATTTAAAGTTATATATTTCGGATCTGTATAACTAAATAATTATCTATTTATCTATATACAAATAACAATATAAACAATACTTTTTTAAAGAATTATTGAAGGAAGTTTATCGACTGTTCTACATATCATGGGTGACAAGTATTCAGAACGCATTCATTTTAAAGTTTTTATTCATGGCGATGTTTCAATGTTAAAATTATTCTATTTTATTGTTACGGACAGTATCAATTGAAAATTTGGCACCATTGTACAAATTTTGCTCCAATTTGACGAGTGGATCAAGATCTCATGATCACACTATAAATGTGATTCCGAAAATTGACATATTCACAGTATAACCTCCCTTTATTTAGATTGCGATTCACAATTTCGGCAAACTCACAGGGTTTTAATTATAGCTTCTATTATATCATTGTTTACAACTCCCACTAAACAATAATAGATCATTCAGAAAATCAATGAGATTTTATTTATGGTGTTTTCACGTGATCACCTGCCAAAGTAGAGTGACACTTCTATAATAGTATAGAAACCTCTGGAAAAAACACAAACAAAACTGACAATTGACTATTAATCTGTAAAAGATCTCTTGACTAGAAAAAAGTTGGTAACTACTACTCCAGATGAAACAGTTTGGACCTACTGCTTTTTTAACCTGTAACATCTTACAAACAACAACCACCTATATTGTGATTAAGTTTTGATTTCTTTTCTACAATTAGTTCAAAAGGCATTTATATACATCTTGGCACTTTCCAAGTCACTCCAACATGCCGAGACCACAAAAAAAAAAAACCATTGAGAATTTGTTTGTCCTTGAGAAAGTGTAACAATCCCATCCGTGAACAAATTTGTCAACAATCGACTGCTTTATAAATTACATCTACAGAATGATTGGTAATCTAGATACACCAGTTGAATGGATATGACACTTTTGTACTATTATCAATGATAATGTTATAGCCGTAACTAACATTATATAGTAAATATGAAGTTTCAGCATGCCTATGACCATCATTTTTCATAGAAAGGTTCAACAAATGCATTGAGATCCCAAAAAGGAACAGTAAACAATTCATTAAATGGTTCGAGTAAATTAAGTTGTGATTAAAAGATTATAGCAATGGACTCAGTGAACATTCCATTGCATAATCTACATTGCAATTGTTCTAACCCATCTCATTTTTATCTTGCCGACTTATTAAATTATTAATTCTATATACCAACCTCCCACTGGTCCAAAAGTCTTTCCATGTCAGCATCAGTAAAGTCTCTTATGTCCTTTTTAGCCCATTCAGGTTTCACATCGCCTCTTTTACATAAAATGACAACGCAATGGACTGATAAAAATAAAAATAACTTGAGCCGAAACATTTTATAGGAAATTTCGGACTATAAACCGAATGAAATAAATATATGTACTGTTATCTCAAGTTCAAACTCCAAGAGCAGGTTAGTTATCAACTAACAGCTAAATCATCGCATAATCGATACATCGATCTTTAAAAAATAATTGTTCAGATAAATAATATAGTATACTATTTATTTGAACAATTATTTTTATTTATTTTAACAATTATTAAATATACTTTATATAATAATCGAATAGGAAAATTTTATAGATATTTCGTATGTTACAGAAAAAAAAATCACATAGTTATTGAAAACTTCGACTACCAATAGAAAACCATTTGATGAAACTATATATTTCCTCAGGAAGCAAGGTTTTATTTCCGTATGAAATGGGTAATAACTATTATTGAAAAACCTCAATAACATTTTGATACTATCAATAAGGTACATATAAAATATATAGTAAAGGATTGTGGTTGTAAAAAATTCGAATGTGAGTTATAACGTAAATATATCTTTAGAGGTTCCCAAGTTCAAGTAACCAAGTTTCCCCCCAAAATGTATTTTATTTGTACAACCTTGTTCAAAAACGAAAAGCCATACGAAACTTTAGTATTTGAAGTTGATATATGCCTGGTACATAACAACCGTTTTTCATTAAATCAACTTACAGGAAGGGCTACTTCAAACAATCTTATTTCATACTTTCCTGAAAAACCATTTTGATTGACTTCACTATATCAAAGAACATCTCAATGTTATTTATTACCAGCAATATCTTCAAATGCACAAATCAAATAACTTTACAATTCCCATAATTAAAATCAAATACACATTAAAAATTAAAAATATAAAATATGATAAATCAATTTATGGAAAGTGCTGCTTCAAACAATCCATTTCACTTTTCTAAAAACGATTATGATTAATTTTATATTAATTTACAATTTAATTCTGTTTATTGTAAGCAAGGTTTTATTCCTGAATAATGAATTTTCTAAATAACATTCTCTAGTTGTTTTTTTTCAACTTGATAAATAATTAAAGTTCTCTTATTTTAGCATTAATAACAACTGGATAAATAAAAAAAAATTAAAGAATTTTATAATTAACGAAAGGTGAAATCTTTTCAAGGTTGAAAACTAATTTTCGGAAATGATAATAATAATAAACAATGTTCACAGCGAAATAGTGATAATTTTATTTTTTACATATTTCATTGTTTTTAATCATTAATTAATTTTTGTTTTTATTTTAGAGTACATTGGAGGAGAGAAGAGATTATACAGATAATGTCACATATTGTTGGAGGAGAGTAATTGATAATGTTGGTGGACACAGAGAATTATATTTCTTATCATAACAATTAACACCAGGGAGTCAAACTGTAGTGAAGAGGGTTTTCTTCTTCCCAACTTCCTGTCAGTCTTTATTTTATCCAAATCTTCTCAGCCTGTTACCTTCTTCGTTAAGCTTATGAAAGAGACCTTCAAAAGGTAAGATTTATATTTTTAAAAATTAAAACTATTCATTTGATTTTGGGCTATTTTAGTTTTATTAAATATATCTTTCCATTATTTTTTCTCTTATTAATTTAACTTACCAGTTCTTTCAAATTAATGTTAACTAAATGAAATTTCCATAAAAACTAAACAGAAACTCATAAAATTTATTTTATGCTTGACAAACCAAAAATATGCGATGCTCCAAATTACATCGCTGAAATAATATAAAAAAATATTTTATTGTGATTTCTGCTACTGTATTTTGAGGAATATGCCAATGATTGATCTAGGAGACATATTTAAGATAAATTAAAACATTTTATTTTATCTACTGGCTCATGGGAATGGTGAATGAAATAAAAGATTTTTATTAATTGTTTTATTATAAAAAAATCACAGAATAAAAAAAAGTTGCAACATACTTAAAAATGTAAATACTAAAGCAAATTCATGACTAGAATCATTGTTTAATTATTACAACTATTTTCAAACATTCAATTATCTCTCGATCAGCTCTTCTGTCTCTTCTTTTTTATCCACTTGATTTGGTGGAGGTTCACTAGGTAAGTCATCAGAATCATTATTTAGATGGTTTGTATCACTGAAAAAACAATAAAAACATTAAATTTATTCTTAAAATATAATTTTTTAGGTGTAACAAGAAATTTTATTAGGTTTAAAGTAAAAAAAAAATAATTTTTACATTATTAATTGTTTTGAATAGGATAAAAACATTCCAAAGTAGATCAGTTTTATATTTTGTTGGATATTATTAATATAATAAAACTTCTTTCTTAATTTCCAAAACCCTACTTAGTAATCTAAACTAATCGCTGCAGAGGGGTTCGGATTATAGAGGATGTTCTGGAAAACTACATTTTTTTTTATGCTAGAGACCATGTATATATTTGCTTTGGCCACATGATGTGGTTATCTAACAAAACATATATTGCTAGCGATAGTATATGCACAATGGCTGTGTTATTCATGACTTATTTGGGGCAGTGATAATTAGATTATGGCTGTTCAGAGTTGGCAATAGCACAAAAACCTATATTTCTTCCTCTGAAACAGACCTTTCATGGACAAAAACTCTGGGAGCTGTTTACATCCTGGAAAACTTAATTGGGATTCCCGATTGATGTACGTAAGAATCATTACCCCTCTGCTTGGTTGGTGTGAATTGCCTGCAGTAGACTGTGGGGCATCACATTTCCTATGGAGGGATAATTTTTTTTCTTTTTTTAATGGATTTTAGGTATTTTTATTTGCTTTGCCTTTTGGTGATACCTATTTCTTCATTACTTCTTAGAGAGTGTAGGAGAAGGATCGGTAGGCATCTGTTGTTTTTTGTTGCCTATTGAATACAGTTTGTGCAAAATAAGGAACTTTGACTAGGAGAATGGAAGTCTTTCATATTTAATCTGTTATTCGCCAGTTTTAATTATCTAACTGCTCAGACTACCCAGTCAATCAATTTAATCAGTTGATTAAGTCAATTAGACGATACAAATAGTGTCTTATATAATTAAATAAAATTGCTAAGACTTACTTTGTTTCAGTACTGCCAGATTCATTTAGCCTGCTCCTTATCCTCGTTAATTTTCTTTTAATCCGAATAGCACCTTTTAACATAATTAAATCATATTGTTTAGACATATATAACCAAGGCCTGGAATTTCAAGCAAGTGCATATTTTGTTTGCATGCAGTTTTTAAACTAGTGATCGAATATCTATACGAATCAGTGGATAAATGCATCTAATTGCAAATTTTGGTTATTTCAAATAAAAATAATAATAATAATCAGAAAGAATGAATTAACATGAAACAATGAAGATGAAATTCCATAAAATCAACAAATAACAATAAAATAATGCTATCTTCAATGATTGATTTCTTAAAATGTGAAGTTTTTTTTTTCATTCCATCGCTTAAAAGCTAAATCTTTATATTTTGTTGGATATTATTATAATATCTTTAAAATAAAAGATAAATCTTTCCTTCTAATTTCTTTTAAGTTCAAAACACCAGACTCTGTTTCAATTTCTTAATTTCTGTACTATCAGTTATATTTTTTATAATTTTAAGAGTATCATTAGATTCTAAATTGAAATATTGGATCGACCCATTTGTTCCAAAGATGAAACAGTATTTAAAACTAATTGAAAGGTTCATTTTTACTTTTTTTTACATCATATTACATTGTTATATCGAATATTGGGAATTACTAACAAATAAATCTGACATATCGAGGGAAACAGCATAACTAAGGTTGAATATGGTACACCCATATGTTTCACACTGAAATATTAATCACTGAACATTTGATATCATATATTAATGTCAATTATAAAGGTCACAATAAAATATTATTTATATTTTTTCTTATGAAAAACTGTTAAATCTTAATTAGCTTTCCCTTGTCCCCACCCTCTTCGAGTTGTAATATTCAAACATTTCGGAAGCAGTGTGGCCGAGCGGGTTAACATGTCAGCAAAACACGCTTTGCCAGACAACCAGATGAACCGAAATTTATGTGATAAAATAATTAAGAGTCGGGTCCTGGTGGCGGGAGGGGAGAGCACTCTGGCATTTAATCCCCCGCCCTCAACCCTGTCCCGGGAAAATACCTGTAGCCTACAACACAATGAAGGGTAGGACTGAAAAAAAAAATACTTCCTATGACTCATTAAGCTGATTTGGAAATAAATAATATATCTTGTAACAATATAATAAGATATAATATAGTATATTACAATATAATAAAAACATTTTAACAAAATTGAGTTATTATTATATTTAATTTTTTTTTCATTACAGGTTCAAGAAGCATCCACACAAAACTGCTGTGGTCTTCTAGAAGCGCATAGGTCATCCGATTCCAGCCAGTCTCCAAGACCAAATGTATCATAGTGGCAACGAGGTAAGGATTAGTTGTAAAACAATATATATTAAAATACTTTAAGTTTAAGTTTTTTAAAACTTGGGTTCCTTAGTCTAAGTGAGCTAGTAGTTTAAGTATTGAAAATTATCTTTCATTAACAGTTACTGAATAGACAATACCACGGTATAGTGGAGTATGAATTAGAAGGAGAATTGGCTAGAAAATAAAATAAATTAGGTTTTCATATAAATTAAAATGAATATAACTTATCGTTTTTATTTCATTTTAATAAATATTTGTGTTACAGGGCTGAGAACTTCTAGTAGATCTTCAGGACTACCTAAGCAGCCCTCGTGTGCCGCGAGGTTAGTGGAACAAGTTTTAAGAATGCACTATGGTCCATAGCTCAAACGATATTAAGTTATCAAATGGTCTTTTTGTAAATTAAGTTATTCTTTTTAATTATATGATCCGTACTGTTTTATTTCTCTTTCATTACATGTTCATTGTTATCAGTTAATTCCATCTCTCTAAAATTATGTTTGATCTGGACCATAGTCCCTGCCCACTTTGGACTTTGCATGTGCATGTTTTGTTTTTTGTGTGGAAATTTGCATATTTATGATCATTATTGTCTGAATATTTAGGAACCATATTTTTTCTGTTTCCATTATACTGTGATATTTCATTTAAATGCTTTTTATTTAATTATAAACTATATATACATTTTATATATGTACTTTTTAAGGCTTTAGTTTCTTTAAATATTCCTATGATACACATTAAAATTATTTAAATTTCTTTAAAAGGTAAATACAATACATAAAAATTTTAAATTTAATAAATGCATTTTTTTAATAATTAAGATATGAATATAATTGCCATAAGATAGGTAGGTAGGTCATATATTCCCTAGTGGGCAGTGTTTGCTGCATGCTGCATGCGCATGTAATATATTTTTTATATGTTCTCCGGTGACCTCCTCTCACAATTCTTAGGTTTATTTATCATTTTTTTTAATTTACTGTTAAAAGTTACCTAATTTATTTTATTTTTTAAATTCAGTAAAAATATATTTTAATCTGCTTTCAATCAAAACATTTATATAAATGATTAGATTCATTCAACGGATTACAAACTTAATGAAAAATAAATCTATAATGAATTAAAAACAATAGCTAATTATTTCACAATTATTTATTATAAATACTTTAATTTATTGTTATTTAAGTATTAAGATTTATATAATTCTTAAATTTGTATAACTTATCAATTTTATTATTTTTATGTGAGAGTGAGGGTTTCAGGGTCTTCAGTCTACAGCAGTGGGCTCCTCTCATTACACACACACACAAATTTTCTTATTGGATATTAGTAAATTTTTCCTAATTTAATTTAATTAATGGTTTTAATTTTTTTCAAATGAATAAAAATTTTATACATTATTTTCCATTTTAATTATGAATACTTTTTTAATAATTCAAATTTGAATAAATAATTTTAAGATTACAAAATAACTAGGATAATATTTTTATTTGCTTTTAAATCAAGCTGTTTTAATTTTAAATAATTATAAAGTTAATAAATCATAAGTCAGGCACACATGAGAGTCGAGAGCAACATTCCAGCAGAACAGCACTACAAATATGAAGAAACGTAAAACGAGTGAGTACAGTAGCATGCTATTTTTTGTGTGGTTTTATTATTATATTTTGTATATTTTATCACCATCAGGGCGTGTTTCGAGCACTGAAGGTATTCAAGTACTGGTATTCAGTACTTTTTCTTATTTTCTTTTTCTGAGGTGAAAACTTCTTTAGGCGCGTTATGGACATTGCTTGTGGAGAGTAAATTAGATTGAGCCGTCAGATCTGCGATGTGTAACGCTCGAATAAATTCGGCTAGTCACTTAATTGAAGTGCTTTTGCAAATGGATTAAAATATCTCAAAACGAAAAGTCATACAAAACTGATATTACGTATTTAAGGTAGGTATATGGTTCGGATGTCCAAGTAACTTTTTCCTTAAAATCGCCTAAATGTAAGTGCCACTTTATATCAACGGTGAAACATATTTTTACAATTTTCTCAAAAATGGCTCTAACGATTTTGATTAAACTTGGGGTATCATTTTATAATTAAGTAAGTAGTCTTTAATATCATTTAGGTCTTACCCCCATTGATGTCATTTTACAGGACTTAAATGCCCAATGTCAACATTTCTTACTCTAAAGTACCTTTAATTTGGTTTATTTTGAATAATTAACTATCTCTCATTGTTAGGAATTACGAAGAAAAAAAAAAAAAAAAAAAAAAAAAAAAAAAAAAAAAAAAAAAGGCTAAATATAAATTTTGAAATGATTTGATTATTGAATAATGGAGAAAAAAAGAAAAATGCTTATCCAGGTCGAAAATGAATCTCCGGAAATAATAGTCAGATGGTATACGTATAATATATCGTTTGAAAGCAGAGAATTTTAGAAAAAATAATATCAAATAAATAAAGTTGTAGAACATAACGGAGAGTGATGAAAAAAATATAAATAATAATTTCAAAATACTAACATTATTTAACGTAAATCACATGTTTTCAAGGAAATTTTACAAATTGTAAACTTTTAAAAAAAATTTATGTTAGAAAAAGTATTTAAAATCCACAGATTCAAGGCAATGGTATTGTTTAAGATACTATTTCATTGTACTTGTGTGAAAGAAGAAGTGAAATATAAAAATATTTCATGGATATGTTTATAACCTTAAATACGTTAATAAGTAGTTATACAAGTACATTCCCTCGTGAAGGATAGGGTTGTATCGGCAGTTTTTATTTCTCTAGTGAAAAGCATAGAGGAATACACTAAAAGAAAGTAGAACAGTAGAGACAGTGCTATACAACTTCCATATTACTTATCTACGATAATTTAAAAAAATATTTGACGTTATAAGGCGTCATTAGGAGTTCAAAATATTATCCACACTTCTGAAATTCCTGATGAAGTAATTAAGAACTGTATAAAACACAATAAATTCTTAAAAAGTAAATATTAATTCTTACATTTAACTGTTTGATATAACGTTTGAAGGTTTTCTTTCTTCTTTTCTGCTCTAATTCTTTCTGTTTTTTCATCTTGTGTCCCAATCCCTTGAACACTTCCGTTAGATTCATGTGCTGTACGCATCAATGTTGGCTGGCTTTTAATAAAATGAATTACCATTGAAGTAACAGTCTAAAAATATAAAATTAGTTTCAAATATTAAAAAATATTTTTCAAAGTTCCTAAACAACACCATTCTTAAAAATTGTTGATAATTACAGATTTTGCTAATATCAAAGCGTAGAGACATAGAAGAGATCCATTTAGAAGCAAATAAAAAGAGAAATGCTTCATGTCACTTTCATATCTCATTTTTTTCAAAGATATAAACATGAAATACCTCGGAATTATATTGAAATATACAGCAGCCCTGAAATTAAATGAACAGTTTTAATAAAATCATTTAAAACAGTATAATTTTTTTTTATTTTATTGAAATTTACAACTGCATTACATGGAAAATACAATAAGTAAATTGGGACATTGGTAACATGATATGTACAACATTCTACAACGTTCTATCCATTGGTAGAACTCAAATTAAAGTTCTATATTAGAAGGTCCCGAGGCCATCTTCTTTTCAGACGTCTCGGAGGATTATCAGGGATTGAGGAGGAAGCAAGGTTTGAAACGAGAGGATTCGGATGGTTCTGCAGTTTGTTATGGAAGGATAGGTATCTGGATTGGGCCAAATCGGAAACATATGGAACATTAAGGTCTTTATGGATGATTTTATTTATTACAAAGTAAGGAGCGTTGAGAATTTTATGAAGGATTTTGGATTGTAAGGATTGGATACGAGAGGAATTCGATGGTTTAGTGGAGCCCCAAAGCTCAATTCTGTAAGTCCAAATAGGTCTTATTATTGTCATATATATGAGTCGTTTGTAATTGATTGTGAGCTTAGAGCGTTTGTCTAGTAAGTGCTGCAGTAGTCGAAAACGTCGGGCGGTTTCTAGTCGTTTCAGTCTGGTATGGGGGTAGTATAATTTGATTAGCAAAAACATGAACATGCACAAGACATATCATATGCCAAGTATTTTAACTGTCTAAAATTCATAATTTTTTTTGTTGTTCTTTTTTTGGCTCTAAGACTTGTCAAAGCAAGTCCTATTTTGCCTATAAAATATTTTAATTGTCGCTGCAAGATGAAATTAAACTGGATATTTTTTAGTAATTCTGGATATATGATTGTTAAATGTAACTAACTCTTGGATGTAACTTATATAGAACTTGAACTAGAAAGACTGATAGTTAAAAACTGATGTAACAGTAGTTTTATAACAATTAAATGAGAACAAAAGGCAACTTTTATTCTATAAGTGTTTTTACATCATTCAAAAACTTTACCAGATCACAGGTGTTGTCTTTATTCATTGACCTAAGAAAATTACATCCATCATCTGTAGTTTGCGATCCTAGATTTATTCTTTTACATTTCTCAAATCTTATGCACTTGAAGGCAATGTATTTTGATCCTCCAGGCATTGGCATATTGGACAGTGGCCGTTCTTAGCCATACGCATTACATGTAGATATTTTTTAGTTCTACCATGATTTATCCTGAGCCTGGTCAGCTTTACTGCTGGAGTGGTCGAGATAAAATCTATGAGACGCAAACCATGGAACCAGTGCTATCTTCTGTTGAACTGCAGATACTTGTCCTTACTCTTCGAGGCATATTCACAGTCATGTAAATGCTGCCAGTCTTTCGTTATTTTCTCCTCACTATTCTTATCAAATTTAGTGAAGGAACCTCAGCATTTATCAGATGTATTGGTTTTAATTTGCCATTTTGTCTGACATTTTATTTCCTGATTTTTCTATGTATCCAGGCACCCAATGGAAAAAGTAATTGTTGCTGGCATTGTGTATTAGTGATATGATTTTAAAAGAAATGTAATATAAAAGGAAATTAATTTGTGTCTATTTTGAAATTTCATTTCGGCAAAATAAAGTGTGATATTTTGATTATAGGCAAATCGATCAATAATGCTAGTAGTTTCTGCATTTAAAATATTATTTATTTTTTTTTTTTTTATGAACTAATATACTTTTAATATTGAAATAAATATATTATTATTTACTTCAACACATCTTTAACTATCATAGGGCCGAAACATCAGCAAAAAAAGTAATTTGTTTAAATGTTTATTTGTTTTTAACTACTAGCTAGTCTAATATAATCTATTTTCTTCTAAATTTAGAATTTTTAAACCCCATTTATACATTAAGACAAGTGCTTCATTATATAATGAAAATACATACATTTAAAAAATATAATATAAATAAATGCATAATATAGAAGAATAAATCTCACCATAGGATTGAATGAAGCAATAAAAATAAGTAGATAAAAAATCTCAGATACTTTGTCTGAGCTATATCACAAAAACAAGAAAACAGCTTGGAAATAGATAAAAAGAAATCTACAGAATTAACTAAAGTAGTGACAGCTACTCCAAATTGAACACATCTGTAACAAAAGAAAATTAAAAATATAAATTTATTATGTTTTTGAGGTTGTTTAAAACAATATGGTTGATAGGTACCTTAATGGGAAAGTTGATATGAAAAACAAAGTTATGAGTTCATTTAAAATAAATTCCAAACTATACAGGCCTTTTTCAATGCATATCCCACATACATTGTTTAAATAATATCCAGATAAAATGACATAAGATAATTTTATATGGATAGAGGGTATTAAATCTGACGAAAACCAAGTTGAAATGTTGTTTTGCAAAACATAGTAAAATCTATTCAAAACATCTGAATAAGTCAGTTTTAAATTTTGCAATGCAAAAGGCACAGTTATCGAAGTAAAAGCAATATTCCAGTAAAGCTTAACTAGTTCCTTGCTTTCTTCTTCCTTTATTGAAATTTTTCTAAGTAACAACTAAAAGAAAAATAAGAGTTCGTGAGAGAAAGGAGTGAGCAATAAATATAAAATTTAAGTCTCAAACCTACTAAGAATAGCCTCTTGTAAACTGTATGAACCAAGAACCAGATAAACCACCAAATCAGACACCATGGTACGACTCCGATTTGATCAACAGAAATAACAATGGTATTTAAAACGTTTTTTAAAAACATTGAAAAGGAATAATGTTGAGTTTTGCATTGGTAATCACTATCATAGCTATACTCCATGGTGTAAATGTATTTTATCTTTTAAATGTACATTATAATAAATCATAATTAGTTTTAATATCGCGTAAACAAATAAATATTCAATTCATTCTCTGATAACCAATTTATTTTGACACTTGATTGTATACAAAACAAATCACAGCCATCTTTTACAAAGAGGTATAAAAAGTAATGTTTAAGTTGGTTAAACATAAATATTTTAGACCTCTTATATTTACATGAAATCAAGTACAAGATCAGTCGCAAATATCGCACTACGAAAATATTTGAGGTGTAAATAAAAGTTTGTAATGTCAGGAATCTAAATAGTTGGACTCCTATCATACCAAAAAAAACAAGCCAGCCCTCAAAATTTAAACTAAATGACGAGAATTGTACTCTGAAATATAGAGTTAATAAAAAATAAATTAAAAGAATGTAAAATGATCACTGTGTTTCAAGGTACTTTTGGTAATTATGAAACACAGGAGTATACTAGTCATATGAAACTTGGATGGCAGGAATTTTTTGTGACATAAATTAGGTGTTGCCGCTCGTCAATAAACCATCGTTTCTTAATTTTCGTACGTTCTTGTACTAATTGTATAAAATTGTTGTTGAAAAAGCCTTATAAATATTTTATGCACATAGCTGTTTTTTTTTTTTTGGTTTGTTTTTAGTAAAATTACATCAGAATTTTTCTTATTTTTCTTTGCTTATTTCTGAATTAGTTGAAGTCATATACTTTAAAAACTTTTTTCATTTTTTTTTTTTTTTTTAGGTAATGTAGGCTAAGCCGGAAAATTAGTTTTTTTCAAGCTTCGAAACGAATTTAAGTACATATCTTTACCCCAAGAGGTTAAAAATACCATGTCAATTTTTTGTATTTGTTCAGGGGAGCTGATTTTCCATTATTTTGAACTTTAAAATTCGTTGATTAGTTACTACATTATTTAATAAAAATGTGGTGTCCTTTATTTCCGGGGCACAGATGTATTTTTAGTAACTGTTGAAAAGCTTTTTATATATTTTAAATTAGACAAAACGAACTTTTTATAGGATTGAACATACCTATCACTATTAAAATACAAGGAAAAAATAATTATTAGACTGAAGTTCAAAACTAGGTAACATTTCACTCAAATAAATATAAAATTAATTTTTTAAAACCTTCAATATTTCTATTTTCCTTAATAGACAGTATAAAAAAAAAAAATAATAAACACAACAACAGTATTATGAAGGTAGGTAGAGTAGGGGTTTTAATAATAATAATACTTTATTTATTCTGAAACGAGTCCCTTTAAAAGAATACACAAATACAGAAATGTAGGCTAAGGAGCTTCATAATAAAAAAAAAAATAGAAACAAAGTATAAGTTATTTTCTAACTTTAATTAGTAAATAATAAGAAGTAAAAAATTAAAAACATGAAGTAAAATGATTAAGAACGATTTAATAATTTATATACATATTTACAGTAATATCTATTTATAATGTTATGGAAACTGGATGGATAAGAAATGATTGAACAGACGGGATTTAAAGACAGGGAGGGTATTGGATTGACGGATGTAGAAAGGGATGGAGTTCCATAGGGATGAGGATCGGATAATGAACGATCTGTCGAAAGCAGAGGTTCGGTGGGCCCTTATATATAAATCTGAAGATCGGGAACGAAGACAGGATTTGAAGAGAAGGAGCTCCGAGATGTATGAAGGACGACGGGATTGGATGACTTGAAAGAAGACACAGGCGGATCTGCGGGGTGGGAGGCTTTCGGGCTGCAGTTCCTCCCCCTAAAATGGTAAGATGTAACCATGTTTTATCGAAAAAAGTATCTCTAAAGGTCGTCTAATTACATTTAATAGGACTTAACGAATCATTTAAACACTATTTCATACAGACATACATAAAAAAAAAATCTTGCGGGCTGAAGTCCCCCCCCCCAAAATTAAATTCTAGATTTGGTAGTGAAAGTGGATATTTTAGGGCGATAAATTGCTAGATTATTACGCCCGTGAAAGATTTATGAAGTCATAGTTCAATCAAACTAGCAATATAATTGCAATTTATTCATCTATAAATCAAAAAGAATTGAATATAACATATAAATATAAACTTATAGTCCGCGGTACAGACCCCTTCATTTCAAATTATTACAATCCACCTAGGACTTCGACAATGGCTTTATCTTATCGTAGTCTACAACTTTTTTATAAACGAAAATTTTCAGAAATAGTGGTTTTTTAACCTGGAGATTATTAAATTTTGTCTGTTTAATGAGGTACTAATATCTCATGAACACACATTAGCTTTCCAATTAAATAAGTAGTAATGAATCACATAAAGAGAATGTTTAAAGATAGAGTAAACAAACGTTTTTGACAAAGTAATGGGACTGAAGAACACCAAAGGCTAAATTAGGAAGATATAGTAAAACTTGGATTAAAAGTAGACACGGGCGGATCTACGTACGGAGGGGCTTTGGTGCTGAAGCCCCCCTCCCTCAAAAAAAATGGAAAAACTATTAGAAAATTATCTCTTAAAGTATTATTGTTTGTGTAATTACATTTAAAAAGACTTCAGGAATCACTTAAACACCATTTCATATAGGTAGTTAGTTTCTTTCTTTTTTTTTCCAAAGTAATTATCGTCATGTTTATTAAATAAAAGCTTTCGGTCTGAAGCCCTCCCCCAAAATTAAATCCTGGATTCGCTAGTGAAAGTAGATGAATACCTTGGAATAAATTCAAAAGAACAGAGAATAAGATGAAGGCCCTTGTAACAGAAAAGATGAGAAAGAAATGAAGAAAAAAGGAAATGAGTGAAAAAAAGAAAAAAAGTTTGGGCTAGGATATGGTGCGATCATTTGCTGGACCTTATTGCGGGAAAAAAGTTTGATTTATTTGTTTTAAATTGGCTTACAGGGGTGCCCACAAGGGAGTTTCATGGAGCAAGTCGCGTCATCAAAATTTTTGAGGGGGGCATATTTTGACAGGTTTTTGAATTTTCGGACTTAAGGAAAAGTGGAAAAACAAGGAAAATACCGCAGCAAGTTTAATTATATATAATCTACAATTTTCTAATTCTATTTTAGCTTGTTCTGTTTTTAAGAAACGGTGGGCATTAAACTATCTTGGGAGGAAGACCTTGGTGGGGATGGGCACCCTTGTTGGCTTGTAATATATTAATTTGATATAACCTTCAACTAGTATAAGCAATCTAAGTAATGTTAAATATATTAAATTAAATTAGCATACAAATGTTAAATAAACCTTTTTTAGAATTTGCCCTCGTCTTATTCTAAAGAGAAAATTTGGGCTGATTTGGAAAAGTGTTTTTAGGGGGAGGGGGCTGAGGAGAGAGGAATGCTAACCTGGCAACCCTGCTTATCAGGTATAAAGAAAGTACTGCTTCTTGATCAATTCGAATTGTAAGTTAAAACCTCAAATGATTTAGTAACAATATAAAAAATGTACAAACACTTGAAAAATAATATAATTGATATAAGAAAAAAGTAAATCTATGAGCCGCAGCTGATATTCAAGTGACATTTTTTGACCAGGAGGGTAAATTACATTTAATATTTAATCATATTTGTATGTTAGCTATAATTTTGATAGTTGTGTCTGGTGACTTATGGAGGTAATTCAAGATGTATCAAAGTATATTCCTTTTCTTTTATTAGTTAGAATGAGTCCTAAGGTATTATGTATTTGAATTGGTAAGTCAAACGCTACCTGCTCAATGTCTTACCTTTCTTTTCTAGTTAAAATATGCAAAGGTGCTTTTACACATCCAATTAGTTTTCTATTAATTACTATATTAAGTTAATTTAATGAAGTATATAAAAGAAATATCTCATAGTGATTACTTGAGTAATAGCATTATAGAATTCATTGGTTATTAAATAAATTAATCCATATATTATAAACATAATACTTAATGTTTACTAAAAATTACACAACTTTTATGATAACTCTCCTCATGGAAAGATTTAATAGTAAAAGTTATTTTTAGCTAACTTGTTATTAATTAGCTATTTTGTTAGATTGAAATCTATGTTATTAATATTTAAATTAGAAGGTAATGATTTTGCACTTAGAAATTATTTCCTCTAGCAAAAACCCTGGATTGGTTTTTTGCTTTGTGGGATATTAGTTTATTTAAATTTAAAGAATACGATAGGAATATTTGCATTGATTCTTAATTATAAGTAGGCCTGGTAAGTTCTTATAAATTTAATGAACCAATGATTGAGTACTTTTTGCGATTGTTTTAGTTTCAACAATAGTAGCCAATTATCATATAGAACTAAAAATAAACATTCTGTCAAAAATATATTAATTATATTGTTTGAAGAGGATTCTTCTTCATGGGCGCTACAACCCGTTGCTGAGTCTTGGCCTCCTGAATTAGTCTCACCCATTGGTCTCTCTCTCTCTCTCTTGCAGCTGACCTCCAGTTAGTTAGTCCAAGAATAGCTTTACCATCTGCCTCGACCCCATCCATCCAGTGCAATCTAAGTCTTTTTGTTTCTGGATGTGTCAGCATAATTTTGCTGGTTTGGTTACTGTCATCCATCCTTGCCTTGAATAGGATCAATTTATCATTTTTTTATTTCATGAACATTACTATAACATTTAGAATTTATAATGATATACAGATGTTCAGAAGGTGGTTTGATGGTGCAACTTTGCAATGTTAGAGGGGAACATATTTTGGCAAGTTTTTGCATTTTTGAGGGGGCTCACTTCAACAAGGTTGAGGATTTTCGGAATAAAAATTTTCATACTAAGGGACAAAGAAAAAACATAAAGCAGATCACAGCAAGTGTAATTGTATATGATCTACGATTTTTTCTTATTCTACCTTTGCTTGCTCTGTTTTTAAAAAAAGGAGAGAAATAAAATATCTTGGGAGTGGGGAGTGGGTGGGAGGGAGAGGAATAGGTTCTTGCGCCATTGATCTTGGAGGGAATGGACACCCCTGATGATATAATGATAGGTAATGTAATTGTAAGATACCTAATACTGCTGCAGTCAGATAAGTAGATCTCCACATTGGGAGAAATTTTAACGATTATTGGTCATAAAGCTGCACGTAATAAGTTTTCATTTAGTAATTCAGTTTGTTGTAGTTATTTATTACATTAACAAGTAAAAATATGAAGTTTTGTTTACATAAGATTCAAATCCAGTAATCATTATTCTATTGAAAACTTCATTGTTAGTTAATCATTTAAAATTCAATAGCCGGGATATCTTTAAAAACTCCATAAATTTCTCTCCCCCTACATACTTTCTTATCATCAGTTCCTATCTTGCTGATAGACATTTCAAAGTAAATCACAATAATGTCTATTCATCCTTCTTCTCTTAACCTGCTGGTGTTCTTCAAGGTAGTATGCTTGGTTCTATCCTCTACACAGTTTATACAGCTGATATCCCATCCCATCCTGACACTATCATCACCACCTATGCCGATGACACATGTATCCTATCAGTTAAAAACGATCCATCAATTGCATATCAAACTCTTCAATCACACATCACAAACCTTGAAGAATGGTGTCAAAACTGGAGGATTAAAATAAATTCCAATAAATCCCAACAAACCATCTTTACCTTTCGTCGTAAACCTATGCTTCCGATTTGGCCCAATCCAGATACCTATCCTTCCATAATAAACTTCATAACCATCCGAATCCTCTCGTTTCTAACCTTGCTTCATCTTCGATTCCTGGTAATCCTCCGAGGCGTCTGAAAAGAAGATGGCCTCGTGATCTCTTTATAAAGACATATTATTTGAGTGCTACCAGTGGGTAGTTTCTCAACAAGTGTTTTCATGTGATTATATTCCGGTGTACACATTTACTTGGTGTATTTATATTGTAAAACAGTTGGAGATATTGTAATGTACACTTTTATTGGAAGTGAGTAAAAAGGTTTTAATAAATTAATGTTGAACAATTAAAAGGCAAGCTGATCTAGTTCTACTAATACAGGGAAAATAAAATGGCTGATCTGTAGTTTCCCAAGAAGGAAAATCCCAAAGTGGAGAGGGACAAAGGTTTTTTTTTTGGTAAGTAGTTGTTGTGTGACTGCAGTGAAGAGAGGATAGGAGAAGTGATCCTGGCTCCAGTAGGAAAAACCCAGTAATAGTATTACCACCTTAGAAGTTGTTGTTTGGCAGAGAGACTATTTGTTTGGAATTACAAGAGAGAGGATCTTCCAGAGAGCTTGAGTTGAGTAGAAAATAGTGCCACCAATTTGGAAGTTGTGTTTTGGCAGAAGATTTGAAATCATTTGAATACAAATGAATTTAGTGCAACAAAGGAAGAGACAGTATCTTTAGAAAAAATGTTAGCTTGCCAATTAATACTTGATTGTATTTTAAATAGCTTGCCAATTAATACTTGACTGTATTTTAAAATCAAACAGTGTTTGGTGTAGTTAATGTTACTTTGTCTGAGTGTTTTGATATGATTGTCAGTAACCCATACCTGAGATAAATAAATATATTAATACTCTTATAATTTTGTTTATTATTATAACAACCTCTTATTTATTTAAGTAGCCCAATAGTATTAAAGTGAGCTTCCGAAGTCATATTATTATTTGTGAAATATAAGAGAGGTGTTACAATAACATGATTAAATACTTTAAAAAAAAAAGCTTTATGATCATATATTTCTTAAATTTTTATCTAAAGGGATTTAATTTTGTTTAAGGGGTAGTTATTCAGTTGGTGACTGAGAAGAGACGTTTATATTTTGAAAAACAAAGTGATCTGTTCTTAATTGACACATTCAATATGATCACTGATATTTACCTTTAGCTAATTACATGACAGGTTACATGACCTAGGCATTTTAGCTCATGTTCTGCAAAAAAAAAAAAAAAAAAAATTCAATAGATAATAGTTTTCTTAAACTATTTTTAGATTAAAGATTGGTTAAAATGTGAAAAATACAATAAAAGTAAATTGAGTTTTGTGTGAATATAATTTTTTTTTTTTTTGCTAAACCTTAATTGTTTCAACTTATATTAGTTGGAATAAAGAGAGACCACATTGTATTGGTTTCATTCATTTTCTCTTTATATGAGCACATTATATTGATCCTGTGACTGTGTAGAACATATATTTCTTTCTTATCCAATCTTTTAATTTGGATTTTTATTAAATTGATATTGAGTTAGGTGAAATGTTTTCTGTTTAACCAAAATAATATACTTAAATGTTCATGTATTCCCTCTCTAAATCAGCACATCACATTTATTTGATTTAAAGAAATAATCTTTCTGTTACTTGTAATCATTTATTAATTTACAATAATTGTTAATGCAAAATTTATATATAGTTAACACATAGACTAAAGTAACTTAAAAAAATAAATCTCAATAAAAGTAATATACAGTAAAAAAATAATAAGGAATAATATTACAATATAAGTTTTTATATGTACATCATATAATATGGTATTTGTGAAACAGTTAAAATAATATAAGTTAAAAATTAATCTATTCTATTTAAATTTTGTATAATTTATTTTTAAATGGTATCAAATAAAATGTAACCAATCTTGATAATCATGAAATGTTTTGAAATTATTGCATCATTGTTGGTACATAATAATACAAACTTGATATTGTTTGGTCTATGATAATTTTTATAATGAAACATATATTGCCTGGTTTGATGTTAGGATATAGTTACTACTGATATTAAAGAAAAGAAATAGCTTAAATATATGAAAGTGATAGAGTTATAATCTTGAAATCAAGGAAGATAATCTGAGTAAAATATGTTCTTATTTATATCCAGGAATTAAAATGGAGTGTAGCCAGACTTATTCTCATGAGAAAAGATGAAATATGGTGATCAACACAGTATATACTTTGTTATTATCTAAGAAATGGAAAAACAGTCAACCAAAGAAAGAAAAGGATTTCTGGGGCCAGAACAAGAGAGAGCAATATTTTCTTTCATTTCGAAGGAAACTCAGATGTTAGATGCCTCTTGCTTTTCAACAGAGCTTTTCTGAAATGTAAGCTATAAAGAATATTTTTTATTTATACTTTTTTTTTGTTATTTTTCAAGTATTTAGCTTAATTGTTATAATTTGTAGATAACATTTAATGGAGAAAATATTACATTACGTATTAGAAGAAACCTAATAATTAATGTTTTAAAACAAAGCAATTGAAATCCTGATTTTACAACATTTATATATTTCCAAAAATTTTGTACACAGATTATTGTTTTTATTGATTATTCATACATATAAGTGCATAAGTTTATATTGAATATTGTGATAGACAACTCAGTTATTGGTTGAATCTGCAATTTTACACTGTTAAATCACTAAACTACACTTGAAAAATTTAAGACAGAGTTTCGAATTTATGTTGCCTTTAGAGTGCTGACGTCACAAACGGAGTGTTTCCAGTTGTCTAATTGAGGTTTTCTTAAAATAGGTTTTCGTGACTGAAATTCACTCTCTGGTTATGGAATTAATCATGTTTAATCCACATTTTAACTCTCGGTGTCCAAACTCTTGTGAGATATTGAATATTGTGAAGCTAAAAATCATAAAGCATTTATTATTGTCATTAATTCAGCTAAAAATATACTCATGATAACTATTCTTATACTTTTATCTGAAGTCATGATATCTATGCAAATGAAATCTGCTGATTATTTAATTGTTATCCTTTATTCTGTTGAAATAGACATCACTAAAGTGTACATAATAATAAATTTATTTGACATTAAACAATACCTTCTAAATAAGAGTTGAAAAATACTTTTTTTTTTTTCAAATGTAACTATTTTGGATATCATGACTTTCCATATTCCTACATTACTTGATATTGAGTATACCTTCATTTTTTTTTCTCTCAAATTCTGTATTTAATATGGAAAAAAAAATACAATAATTAATATCTTATAAAGGAATGCTGCATAAAACAATTTATGGTTCAATAAAAGAGAGAACAAATGAAGAATAGTGACAATATGTGAAATATTTAAAGCTGAGATATAGAGAAGAGGAGATTCTCATCCAACATGTAGCTTTTGTTAGAGGAATTTCATTCATTCAATTATTCAAAATTCAACCATAATCATTATGGAAAATTTGAAGAAAACAAATGAATTTCCATGTTTTTAACATTTTTTTCTACTCTTATGTATTCATACATACACATTTATTATTTATGTACTTACGATACAAAACAGTGCAGTACCATTTGTATATTTTTGAATTATTGGCAAATAAAATTGTGGATGTATCTTTACTTTATTTAAAAAAATATTTGAATCCGTTTTGCTCCATCGGTCGGTAAAAATTGTTTCATTTCAACATTGTACTTATACTATAGCAATATGCCAATCATAAATTTCTTATAACAGAGCTCTCCAAAAGAATAAAAAATTCAAGAAAAAAAAAAATAGAATGCAATAACAATTTCTTATTGGCCATGATTATTTTCAATCATGATGATTTCTTTCATTTTGTAGGGATTTTAGGAAACTTTAAAATACTGAGAGTTTTAATATGGTACAAATTAACAAAATATCGGGTGCTTTTTGAATAATTCTCAAATACAATTATGAATCTATTGTTACTTTTTTGTCTGCCTCTTTTTGAGGTAATATGTTAGGTACATAAATTTAAAAGGCTTTAAAGAGAATACTTTAGATTGTTACAGCTATTATGGTACTATAGTCAATAGTAACTCACATTCACTGTTTGAAACTGAAAGGCCGGATGGTAATAAAATATATGTGTATATATATATATATATATATATATATATATATATATATATATATAAACAATTCTGAATTTGATTGCAACATTATATCAAAATTTCAAAACAGTCTTTGAAAATCTTTCGAAAATTAGATGTTTGAATAAACTAACAATTATATTTTTACTTATATACAGTTTTCAATTTTTTTTTTATTGATAACACTAAAGTTTGTCAACAGTTACTAAACATAAAAGATCAATTGAGAAACAGAGGAGAAAAACGGACTGAACTGCTTTGTCTTTGCCTATTTATTTAATGATACTCACTGAGTGTATAGCTTATGTGTTACATAGATTATCTATATATATATATATATATATATATATATATATACAGTTCCAGTTTAGACAGAATCTCAAAATAACAGCAAGATTCATTAAGTTTTTATAAATTATAAAAATTTATAATAAAATATAAAAGAGGAAAAGTGATATATTGCAATAACTTAGTATTTCAACCAATTACCTTGTAATTAATTATTTATTCGTAATTTAGGCTTGCCGATGTTTCCACCCAAGCATATGGGTCATCAATTAGGACAATGGATACTGTATAGCCAAGCTACATGAAATCCAATTGGTTGATGTAGAGTTGTTAAGAGTTTCTGGTAGTAAGGAGATCAAGGAAGGAAAGTGATTCTTTATTTCAACAGAGAAATGATGTGTTGGGTGATAGGAATTGAAAGCAATAAGGATTCTTAAAAATGTGTTAGAGTTGAAAAGTCAATAATAGGTCACTTACTGAGTTCTTGTTGCTTGATTATCGACTAGCTATTGCCTTGATGATGAGCCACATGCTTAGGTCGAAATGTTGGCTAACTTAATAAAACATATATAGAATATAAACCCTAACTATTTTTCATACTCATAATTTTAAAAATATATATAAAAGCTATAGCAAAAAGATAGAGCTAATTATAGTAAATAATTATAAATACACATGAATTTGTAAATTTATGATTTATATTAATCAATTTATTGAGGCCACCTTATAGATATATGTAGCCTCTATCGAAGGTAGTAGGACCAATACAGGAGATTGAACATGGCAAAAGCGAGTGGAAAACACAACCGAGAATATTCATCTATTCTTCTTGCCATTCGTTTATTAGAGTTGGGAAGTTCTATTGCAATTTTTCTTTCCTGAAAAATTTAACAATTGTTTTTTTTAAATAAATAAAAGATGAATTAAAAAGTATTGTTACATCGCAGTAGTGATTTTGATTTACCGGCAATTGTTCTTGTTTTACCCTTCCGTTTATATCACTAGCTAAGGGAACACTCTCAATGGGAATCACCTTTCTCCACATGTAATTGACAAATGTGAACTCCAGCAAAGCACAGAAAACAAAGGCTGTAAAAAACATAAAAATAGAACAAATAAAAAAAGATTTTTATTAGAAAACTAAATTTATGCAAGAAGATGGTCTGTAAATCAGTAAAAAAAAATATCAAACAATTGCTAACTCAACTCACATTGTATGTCATCCTCAGAGCTAAAAAAAAAATTACAAAGAAGTTGAAAGTATTTTAGAAGTAAAAAGCCAAATTTTACTTCCATTTTATCTTTCTTTTCAGCCCTGATGAAGACATACAAAAGAAATTTTTTTTTAAAAAAACTAAGAAAGGATGAGAACTATAAAATAAAACTTTCATCTTCTTTGTTTTATTTTATTTTTTAGCTCAAAATTAAAATACTGTTGCAGTTACTATAAATAAAATGTAGGGACATAATTTTATACTTTCATACAAAGTGAAGTAAACTTGAGAGATGACTGGTTTTTCCATGAACAACTAACTATGAGGTGATTTATCTTGATCAGGTTGCGGAGAAAAGCAGTAAACACATACACCACAGGGAAAAAGAACTAAATATTGTTTATGCTGAAGTTTCTTATAAATATTTTAAAACATTCCAAGATCGTAAAAATAACTTTTTTATATAAATCCCATTCAGGCAGGGGATTGTGGCACACAAACAAAATACCTTTTATTTTAAATAGGAAAGTTTTTTATTGGATAATAAGTGATTGAAAATGGGACAATCTTTATCTCTCTCAACTTAAGTTTCAGAACTGGTTGCTTTCTACACTGAATTGCTTGGTTCAAATCCTGATTGGTATTTATGTATTATATTGTTATTTTATTTTTAGTATATAGTCATAGGAATGAAATGGCTTCATTATCACATTTTCTGTGTTGGAATCACAATATGAATGTTGGACCATAGTACTAACAATACTGTTTCCTAAAGGTTAGAATCAGACATCTGTCAGATTTTAATGGGTAGTTGCTTAACAAATTCATCTTTTTATGATCAGAGAATAATTCTCAATTCATTGTATTGAATACTCTTGGATCCCACATAAAAAATACTGGAATATTAATTACTGAGTAATTATTATAATTAAACTATTTTTTTATTTAACGACTCTGCCGCTGGCTATTAGGCCATTCGGCTCTTGGCAGCCAATACAATCCTGCCATGATTCTTTTGCTTGAATTTGTCTCGATCCCATCAGAATCACCGCAGACATATGACAGAGTGGGGCAAACTGAGAGGTGTAGGTCGTACATCTCGTCCTGTTGACAAAGTGGGCACATCCATTCCATTTCCATCATTCCAATTCTATGTAATCGTGCCCTGTCGTCATGCGGAAATTCGCCACCGATTCTTTCCTATTTTTCGTTTGTCTCATCGGCTCCTCTTTTAAATATTTCCATTTTTTCCACACTGCCTGTCGCTTTTGCTAATTCTTATTCTCTTCCTTTTAAAATCCTTTTAACAGATTCCTAGGGCAGCGGAGGTTTAGTTTTTGGTATTTTCGAGGCGATCCGTGCGACCTCATCAAATTTTTCATTTCCTGATAGCCTGCAATGGCTTGCAACTCATTGGAAAATCACTCGGATTTTTTAAAAAATTAAATTACTAATCCGATTTCTAGTACTTGTGACATCAGAACAGTCCAGGTCATTGCAGATCGACAGTATGGCTGCTTGTGAATCGAAAAAGCTCACAACTTGGGGATTGCTGAGTTTTTCTCTATTGCAGCTAATGCTGCCGAAATGAATTTCATTTCTACATCGAAATTAGTCCCCCGGCGACCAGCAGGGATGGATAACATAAAATCTTGGCAGTATACTCCTGCGCCTGCAATCCGCATAGCTGTTTGAGCAGAGCCATCAGTGCATACGTTTAGACAATTCTGCTCGGAATAAGCAAGTGCTTTCAATTCCCATTCAGATGTTAGGTGTTCACTTACAGGATGTGTTAGATGTAGCCGTGCCTCTGCAATAAATTTTTGCTGGTCATTACATTTATTAAATGGCATACTCATGCTTGGATCTATGTGTTTTCTTTCCAACAGTTCTCTAACTTTTATTGTTAGTGGTTTTTGCGTCTTGAGGCGCTGGACAGATGTTTCTTGAGCAGCCCAGTACTTCAAACTAAGTCTTTTCATTCTTTCTATAAGGCTGATAGCTGCCACTTCTCTTCTTGTTTGAAGTGATTCTATTCCCGCTTGTATCTGAAGAGATGCAATTCTTATGCCAGAGCTAATAATTCTTCGTGAGCGCTCCATTAATCATTATATTATATATCATTATATATTTTATAATTAAAATATAAAAATTAAATTTATGTCTTATTAATAACCTCAAATATTCAATATAATATTTTGATCACTTTATATATTTATATGTACTAACCTGTGCATGTCCCCATCCAAACGTCAATGGCTTTGACATAGCTCACTTGAGGCAAACCACTCTGGATGCCTAAATTAAACGGGCATTTTAAAAATATTTGTAAAGCAATGATTCTTTTTTATGTATAATTTTAATTGATTGATCATTGATATTTTTATTTTTATAAAACGTGTTTCTTGTGGTATTAACAGAATTTGTATACATATCATTATATCAGTAAAAACCTGTGGCCCTGAGGTATGTCTACGTACCATGTCCATTTTTTCATTAAATAATTTAGTAACGAAGAACCAAATTTCGATAGCTCAAAGTTATGGAAAATTGGCTCTCCAAACAAATAGAAAAATGTGACATGGTGCCCATTACCTCTGGAGTACAGATTTAGTAACATAGAAACAAATTTTAATAGCTCAATGTTATAGAACATTAGTTCCCCTGAACAAATAGAAAAATTGACATGTTTACCTTTGGGGTACAGAAATATACTTAACGTAGAAATAAGTGTACCAGATGATTGAGATGAGACAGCAAGTAGCGTAGTGACTCCCAGAGTTGTCCTCCCAGGGACTGAGTCCACATCCATCCAGAAAGACACCCAGGAGATGACAACTATGAGAATGGTTGGAAGGTAGCTCTGAACTAGATGGAAACCGACAGACCTGCTTAAATAAAACTCAGCGACCAAGCAGCTGTAATTTCCTGTCAACAGAGGAAAAATAACATAATCTAATACAATTTAAGTGATAAGATTAAAATTAAACTTATTTTTATGTGGAATAATGGATTATAAATAGAATGAATCTACTTGGTTTGGGCACTGGTATTAAAAAAAGACATTTGCTCAACAGCTTAAGTAAAAAAAAATTAGCAGTCAAAGTTTGAGAACTGGTGAAAGGAAAAGTCCTGTATCTAAGCGTGATCCTACTTCTTAATAGGGATTTTAATTAGTCAAAACTCATTGCAGATGCAGGACTGGATCTATCATAATCTACATTAATATTATGACAACTGAATGGGAAATGAAAGCATTTGCTCTAGTAATCAACTGCTGCTATCATGAACAGAATTGGCTCAATATATACACTAACAGCCAGTATGTGCTAAGGTAAATATATGGTCTGAAGAAAATAAATGACCAGTGGCAAATACGGGGAAATGATGAGCTCTATGAGCTTTTTTTTTTTTTTTTTTTTTTTTTTTTTTTTTTTTGTCCTTCCCTTCCTCGCCGTTAAGGCTATACGGGATTTTCCCGTGCCAGGGGGTGTGGGCGGGGATTTAAAAGACTCCCCCGGCACCGGGATGCGAACTCGTGACTATTTTTATATCTTTAATTCATATGTCAGGTTGCCAGGCAACGGCGGTGCAGTGCACACGCTTTAGCCCATTCGGCTACCCCGCCCACGGAGCTCTATGAGCTGTATAATAATAACAATATTGCAGTCACTGCTAAAAGGTGCCACCTCAGATGGCTAGGACCTGTAGAAAGAATGGGTGACCCCTCCCTCCCCCCTGGATGCTGGAAAAAAATCCAAAAAAGTTCCAGAAAGCAGCTGTTTAAAGAAAAGAGAAATATAGGAAAAATTCGTCGTCATAGACGAATTCCCTAATGTAATAAATAAAAAAAAATGACTATCCTTGACCAGTACTAGCAAATACTGCCGGGCGCGCCCTCCTATGGATAGTGAAAAAAAAATCCAAATAACACATATTTAAAGAATAGAAAAATATAGGAAGACCTAGACCTCATAGACGAATTTTCTAATGTAATATAAAAAAAGTTATTATTATGACCAGCACTAGTGATTTATGCCAAGGGGCGTGTCCCCCTCTGGATGTTAGAAAAATAATTTAGAAAAAAAAAGATCCAGAAATACACCTATTTAAAGAAAAGAGTGATGTAGTTTTTGGACCGTAGTGAGATTCGAAGGCTTGTGCTCTTTTCGCAGTTTGTTCCTATTGAACTGAGTCTTGCAGGTGAAATACATGATGGAGGAAAATTCATTAAAAAAAATCTGGTGTGTCCACTCACACGACTTTCCTACCTATTTCAGAAAAGTTTTTATATCTTTACATATGTTCATAAAGAAACGAAAAAGAATTGAACTAGATAAATTTTCTAACATTATTGATCTAACATAAGATTTGAGTACGATTTATTTGATAAACTAAAGCAATGTAAACCAGCTTAAGGTAGTTAATTTCTATTAAATGTAGAGGAAATAGTGAAGATTGGGTGAGGCGAGCAACAGATTTTCTTACATTCACTTAGACATCTTTATGCTAAATTAATAAATATATTAATATATATATATACAATATATATATATATATATTAATATATTTATTAATATATATATATTGTATATATCTATATTGTATATATATATATATATATATATATATATATATTGTATATATTAATATATATATATTGTATATGGAAATTGAATAGTCGTAACTTTGTTAATAGTTGTGCAAAATGAACGATTTTTATATGGCTTTGTTGAAAATTTCATTACCTTTTAAACGAAAGACACAGACACACAGACAGACCAATTGCTAAAAATGTGTTTTTCAGACTCAGGGGGCTCTGAAATGTATAGATCCGTCAAAAACCACATGTCGGTAATTTGACCCAATTGCAATACTTTCCTTATCTAGTATAGGTAGGAAAGTAAAAAAGGACTTCATTTATTCTTTCGAACCACCTTTTATTCGAGCCCAAGAAAATAATGGTTTTCTTCCGGACCCAGTTTTTACTCAGTTCAATAGATCTGGATGCATTGCAACCTTCAGCAACTATAATCTCCTTGAAGAATAAATGCGATTCATAAAACTGGTTACGATAATAATTAGTATATTTCTCATTAGAAAGTGTTGTTCTTTTATTATGATAGCTATTGTTGGGAACGTTTTCATGAAGGAATGTACTAATTATTTGGTCTCTGATTTGATGGGAATCTGATTATGATCGAAATCGGAAATTATTCTGAATTTTTTTTTCTTAAAGAATAATTTCCAAGCTGCAGGGCCATTTATTTTAATCTTTCTCAGATTTTGACAATATTGGTAAAAATTAGCTTTCATTGACCGTGATTATCGACCATATCGCTTAATCAAATTATTAAGTTTAGGTACTCATTCAACACAGAATTTGACGTTTTTTAATTTCTTAAAGACTATGTTTTTTTGTTTGATGCACTGTTTAGTAGTAATACATGAAAAAAAAAAAAAATCAGATAAAACCAGATCTGGAATTTTTGGCTGTAAAACGTTTTCTCTTGGTGACTCCTGTAAGCAATTCAGTTTTTTTACATGTCTAAACCCATGTACAGTCTGTCTCCTAAGCAGAGGGAAATATTTGATAACAAAACTCAATAAATACAAAAAAGTTTATATAAACAATGGTTCGATTTTTAGCAATTAATTAAAGTTTAAGGGAATTAAAGTTTTGTGATTTTTTATGTAAGCCACATTTTTTGTTAAATAGGAAGTGATAATAAAAAAAACTATTTAATTAAATAATTAATGATAGCTTCACTGTAAACTATACAAAATTTACTTTAGATAAAAATAGGGTTTGCTTTTGTTAAAACCATTTAAACAGGACTTTTGAACCACTAAACTCAGCTAAGGAGTGGGGAAAGTAGTGGTGGGGGAAGCACGTGGTACAGATGTGCCCCCCCCTTCCCTTGAGAAAATTCCTGGATCCACCACTAGAATAGGTTGCCCAGCAAATTTCTCCATAACTGTCCAGGAGGAGCACGTCTTGGAAGAGCCCGTCTGCGGTGGATCAATGACGTAGAAGAAGACCTCAGCCGTATGGGTATAAGAATATGGAGAAGAATAGCTGCCAATAGGGAAGTCTGGTGGATTGTTGTTTCCAGGTCCGTTAAAGGGACTGTTGGACAAATTAATATATAAATAAAGAAGATATAATTCAATAACGGCTCCGCTCAGACAGCTATCCGAATAGAGGTGCTGCCATATAATACTGAGAATTTACATTTGCCATTCCCGCTGTTATTCTTGGCAAACATTTCAACGGGGAAGTCAAAACCATTTCAGCAGCAAGGAGACCCGCTACCCAGATTGTTTTCTTCGTTGACACATAAGCCGCCATACCGGCAATCGATAATGAAAATTGTATTGATGTGCTGTCTAACATTCCTCAGATGTTAGGAAAGATATCGAAAATCTGGTTTAGAAAAAAACTAAGGTGTGTGCAAATACTAAACGATAAAAGTGAAAACATCAACAAGGCGAGATTAATAATATAAAATATAAATTATAAATAATAGCTCATTGTAAAGAGGGTAAAATACTGAACATTTCTCTCACTTACAGTATGCAGGTCCAATTTATAGTTTTTGAGATATTTTAATCCATATCTTCCATAAAACTCATTATCATTTTCTTTTTTCTGGGAAGTTGTATGATATTCTTTTGATAATACAACAAATATATTCAATTGTTGCTAATTAGTGGTATGTTTTGTGATTTTGAAGTAAGATTATGTTTTCAGAAAACAGACGATTTAGAGAGTGCAGAGGACGAAAAATTTCTTTTATGAAATAGGAAAGAGAAAGTCCTTTCTTTTAAAATTCATAGGCATAACTCCTGCTTTCACGTGTAGGCTCACCGTTGGACTAAAGCACTAGCGGATCCAAGATTTAATTTTGGGAGGAGGGCTTCAGCCCGATAGGTTTTTTTTTTTCATATATATAACGATAATTACTTTGGAAAAAAAGAAAATAAACTAACTACCTTTATGAAGTAGTGTTTAAGTGATACTTGAAGTCCTATTAAATGTAATTAGACAAACAATAATACTTTAAGAGATAATGTTTTAATATTTTCCCCATAAAACAGGGTTACCATATTTTACCATTTTGGAAGGGGGGGGGGCTTCAGCCCAAAAGCTCCTCCCCCCCCCCCGGACTAAAGCAAAAAGCACCTAAGGCTGGTCTGAGTGCGGTTTTTGAATGGGGACTAACATTTTTTGGTATTTTCACGGGCTTAATTAAACACTAGTAAATACAATAAACGAATTTTTACAAAAGTTTTCCTTTATCAAAGTTGAGCTATTACACTGTCATATTTTTTGTCTAACTTCTTTTAAAATGATTTTCATTAATCCTAAAATCATGATTGATAGCAACTCGCTTCAAGAATTTATATATACACTTTTTGTTAAACCTTTTGTGTAAGAAAATTTAAAGATGTATGTTTATGGATTTTTAGAACAAGTTATTACACTAAAACATTTTTAATCTAATTTAAAAAAAAAAATGGTTTTCCCTTGGAACCGTAATTCTGGCCAAATCGGATAAGTGCAAAAAAGGAAGTTTGAATAAAAAGGCCCACAATGGTGAAGAGAGAGCTATTTCCTAATTGTTTGTAATCAAAACAGACCGGAAAGTGCTCTCTTTTTTTCTCGCTTTAATATTTAAAATCAAGATGGCACCAACCGGATTAGTGCTTCCACCCACGACCACTTCAATCCTGTAATCTTAGCCTCTTTCATAATAGGTAGTTACAATGGTGTTACGGATTACAATACACTACTTGCTTTGGAGATTTATAACTGTGCTTATTGTTTTGAAAAAAAGAATGTTATTATATAGTACAGTTCAGTTAAGTCCCATAAAGTTAAATCACTATTTGTCATCATTCAATTTTTAAAGGTTTAGTGAAAATTAATATTAATTACATTTTTTTTCATTCGAATTATTTTATCTCTTCCAAACAATAATAATAATATGTTTTTATTTGTGTAAGTATTTATCTATTAATTTTTAAAAAAAAGCAAATTCTAAACATAAAAAAAAACTTATTATATATCAGGAACTTTTGGAAAAAGTAATTACATCCATTAAACTTAAAAACAAAAAAAGTTGTTTCACTTGTTTAAAAAAAAAATATCAGTCTTCGATACCTAAATTTAATAGAGATATTATGATATACCGATTTAAATTTATCAGACAAAAATATCGATATATCTCTTTTAATTTAATTTATATAGATATTTTGACATTTTTGCATCATACAAATGCCATGCGTAGGTGGTTAAACTCTTTAATCCGTGGTACAGACCCCTTTTTATCAAATTATTAACATTCGCCTAAAATTTCGTGAATGGCTTCACCTTATCGTAGCCTAAAAATTTTTTATTTCCGAAAATTCTCAGAAATGGGATGTTTTCTCATTATATTAATTAATTTAATGAGATACAAAAACCCATTTGCTTTCCACTTGAATCGTAAGATTTGATAACAAAATGGAAAAAAAAAAAAGTGGCATACAAAAATATTGAACCGTTTGCCTATTTAACCTTGTTTTTTTACATGTTGGCGGTGAAGGTCATGCCAAAGGGCCCAATATTTTTGTAGGCCGCCTTTTTTTTTTGATTTTGTGATCAAATTATCTTACTATTCAAGTGGAAAGTAAATGGATGATCATGAGTTTTTAGTACCTAATTAAATAGAGAAATAAAATCATAAACACAAAATTTGAAGGTTATGATGTGAAGGTAAGTTTTAGGTAAACTAAATAATTTGATAAAATGAGGTCTGTACTTTACTCTTCTATCTTTTTTTACTTTTTTTTATTTTTTATACTTATTGATCTGTATAATCCGATAATAAATAATTTGGCTTATTAATTATTTAAGTTCTTCTTGAGACTAATCTCCCCTGAAGAAAGTTTATACTCTATAAATGCAGCTGAAAACAATCTATAACATTTATTATTTATATTTAAATATGTTTTCATGACTTATCTTTTCCAATAAAAATTGTCTGATACTTTTAACTAATTCTACTCATTTTCCAATTCTACTTATAAAATAAAATTTCATCTGGTTCAAGATATTGCTAGGTTGATTAATGTATACTTATGTACTTTATGGTCATAGATTTTGAAAATAAATGTATGAAGCTACTAATTATAAATATATAATAGTATCCCTACCGATCTGGAAAGACTCCTGGCAGTCAGAAGCCATGATATCCACTATTTCAAACTGCGGCATCCTCAACCCCTTTCCCATGATGACTGGATTCAGGGTCTTCCACTCCAGCCTCAGTTCCTCGATGGTCTTAGAGACTGCAACAGAACTTGTGTTGTCCATAAATATATAATAAATTAACAAATTAAAAAAAAAAGTATAAATAAGTATTTTTTGTTACAAAATTCCTTGTTAATTAATTCTTGGCTGACATAAAAGTGTCTATTCTCATATTATTATATTGTAAATAACCTACAGGAAGTTAATTTTAAATGATTAGTTTTGGCGGGAATAGGCGCATAGCTTTTATATCAGGGTTTAAGGTTATTTACACTCGTGAATCATTAATACAAAACCCCGGCAATGGATATCGACTTTTTGAGGGTGTTTAACTGTGATTGGGAATTTGGGGATCTAATACCTTTTATGACACTGGGTGAGAAGAAACAATAAGAATATATATATGAAATGTGGGGCTTAGTAAACACTGAATGAATTGACTCACCTGGTTTATTCTTCAATTGTGAGGCCTATAGGACAACTAAATAAAAGGACTGTTCACTCCGGTATAATAAAATGATTTATTTTGACAATTGATAATAAATGAATATATATAAGTGAACGGTTGGCTTGATAATCTTGGTCTTCAATGTAGTAAGCCTCTCTTCCCAGATGACGTCTTCCTGTGTTGGTGTCCAGGCCTAAAATATTTGGCGTCGCCCTCGCCATCTGTTGCCAGCTACCTGATCGGACCTTTCCTTCTTTTCGATTCTTTATCGATGTCAGATTTTCCAATGAGCAATTTGTCCACTGCACAATTGAGTACAATTCACAGTGCAACCTCACATTCCTATATATTATATATATCTTCTCATTCCCTCACACATTGTCATATAAAGGGGTAAATACCGGGGATGTCTAATACAATATATACCAACTATTTCTGCAGTATTATTTTTATTATACGAATACCATAATTTATTGTTTAACTATTTTAATTTTGTATTTATTAATTATTAAATAATGTTGTTGTCCTATCGAAATATTGATCTATTTTTTGATATTCACATTCCTAAAATCTACTGCCCAAATATCAAGTATAGTAAAAAAAAAACTTTTCAGAAATGGAGTGACTTAGAGCATCTTGTCTCGTCCTCTTTACATCCTTGAAGTTTAAAAATTTGACTATGGTATGTTTCCGGTCAATAGCACAATTTATGAAAGACAAGCGAAAACCATAATTAGGATATAAAGATTTTTTGCTTCAAAAAATGAAGACAGCTTTCAGCACAGATTACCTTAAGTTATAAAACTGGATTAAATTAATTAATGATGATAGCTTATATATTGTAAAATAATTTTGATATATAGGTTATACAATGCCATTTAAATAAAATTTATTTTATGCACAAAACTTTTGTAACAATGTAGTACTCATGAAATAGATTGCTGTGATGTGAGGGTTCTTAGTTGTTATTTGGATTGAAAAATTAGGTATGAAATATAAAAAAAAATCATTTTTGTAGAGTATTATTTAAATATGTTCAATTGTTTAATAGTACACAATTATTTCATCGATTTACTTACAACTGGCTACTTCCATTGTACATATCTGGTTATCCAAAGGGAACTTGGACAAATCCATCATACACGAAAAGGTCAGCTTCAGTCTGAAACATAAATATGTCATGGAAAAATAAATTCAAAATCAATGTAATAATGTAAAAAGAAATATCAAAAAAAATCAGTTCTTTCATGAATGATCTTTATTCGTTTTGGTCCTGAAGATTTGGCTATCAGTATTGGTATTGCTTTGATTCTGGTCACCCTGATTTATTTAATATCAGACTGATGTTTTTTCTATTCTATAGATGTATTCCATTTGAAGTAATGTTAAACCATTTTGTCAGATTTCCCCCGAAAATAATGTAATTTTGCAAATAGTTCTATAAAAGTTGGAATAAATTTAATTCGAAATTTTGGCATCCATTTTTTTTTTCAATTTCTAAGTTTTGGCACCTCTTTCCAGTTTCAAAGTAGGTTAGAGTTGACAATTTTTATGCAAATTTAGGTTGTGTCCTTTTGGGATTTTAACTTTTTTCTCTCCATTTCATTATTATTTATTTTTCTCTGTTTTTAATGTGAAAATGAACCTATAAAGTTTTTTAAGGTTTAATATACCTCTATAGCTCTCACTAAATTGAGTTAGTGAGATTGAAATTTTTGTGTGAATTGTATATGGATTAAAGAGGTATCTTTTGGAGGTCTAATTTTGATAAATTTGACCCTCTAACCTCAACTTTTTGACTAATTAAATTAAAAATAAAGACGCATTCAAAAATAAAAAAAAAACATGAAAGAAATTCCGCATTTCAACTGATTTTAAAATTTTATTAAATTTCTGAGATAAGTATTAATGGAACAATTAAATCAATTTTCATATGTTTTCAAAACAACAATGAGAAAAAAAATTGAACTTAACGACCAAGTTCTGCTCCTCTGCACTACTATGACATTTTCCAAATTATTGAATTAAAAAAATAGGCAAAAAACAAATATTTATAATATTTTAAAAATTTGATGTATTGAAATATTTTTTGGTAAGTTGTCTATTATTCAACTATTGGCCATAAAACAAGAAACAATATTGCATTTTATGTTATGCATTTTGTATTATGGTATGGTTATGAATGACTGAAAAGTGTTTTTATTATATTTTTCTTATTTTATTCATTTCATGTTATATAATCCACCTGTAAGGAGTCTTTTTTATTGTACTCAAAAGTAACTTGCAATTTCATAATAAACACATTATATTGCACAATAAACAAAAGCCAAGTTGAAGTCGCTTTATTCTACTTCCCGACAACAATTCCATCTTAGTGTTTTCTTCTTCCACGTCTTAAAAACCAAAAATCCTCCCAATATCATGGAACTCCTCACTCTACGTTCCTCTGTCCACTCTATTAATATCATATATCAACAACCTATTGATTTATATATCTCTTCTCATAAAACTACATCCTTCAACAAATCCTTCGTCATTCTTGCTACCTCCTTCTGGAATTCTTTATCTATCCATAGACGGCAATCTTCAACCTTAAATTCCTTCAAACAACTCTTATTCCACCCCCTACTTCATTTTCAAACTTCCATATCTGTGTAATATTTATCGATTTCTGTAATTACAACTTCTCACTAACAATTAATCGACAAGTTTAATTTAATTTAATTTATTTATTTACTTTTTCTTTATATAGATGTAAACCATATAAAATGTACTAATGTTAAAGTGTTTACTATTGTTATTCAGGTATGATTGCGATAGCAAATGAAATTAACATTCAAATGACCTCTTAGTATTCTGTCAAACCAGACTAAAGGACCAATGTTTTGTACCATATTATAATTTTTTTCATTTCTTTTCATTATACTCAGTAAGTCATTTAGTATAACATTACATGTTTAGAAATAAATACCGTGTCTAGAAATTGGTCTATAATTATTGTAATTTTTATATTATTGTTTCTGCCTGACTCAGAGTTCAAGAATGTAAAATAAGCTTTATTATGTTTCATAAGCTCCAATAAAGTACCCTATAATATATACTATATATTTATAAATTGTGTTTTCATAAATAAATAACTGTTAAAAAATGAATATCAATTAATTACTAAATTATTTAATATTTATTAATAATTTAAATATGAATAAATTATTACCTTCTGATACACATTTCATTAGAATCTTAAATTATTTAAAAAAAAAAAAAAAAGGGTTCTACAATGAACATTGCAGAAAACTAGTCTTCATCACTCGTTGTTAGAAACAGATTTTCTATTAAACACACTTATCAACATATTTACGTTCTGCATGCTACTCATAAAATCCCTCCTTTGCAGCAGTACAAGAGTTTTTTTAGAAATCTTATATTATCCAACTCAATATCAATCACACATCTCAAGGGGCTTCGAAAAAAATATTCTACATGGAATTTGTTTCTTCTAAAACTCCAAGCTTTGAAAAAGTTTATTTCATGCTGATAAAGTATTTTTCTTATAAAAAACTAAATTTTATGTGATCACTATTGTTTACCAAGGAATTGCATAAAATATAAAAACAATTTAAGAAACAACCATTTTGCTTATACTAAGTCTGTAAAACAGTGGAACATAGTATTCGTCTTATGGTTCTCTTTAAAAAAATTGATGAGCATTAATAAAATTAGTTTTTATTAAATAAATTATCTTTAGACTGAAAGACTGGGCATTAAATTGTGTTTAGACTAATTGCATCGACTCTCTGTTTATACACACTAAATCACTTCGAACAATGGTCTCTCTGTTCTGTAGTTTCTAAACGAAATTCTACCCTTTTCTTAGAACTCATTGTTGAATGACTAATTGGAGATGATATCATAATATTACCGATAATATCTTGCAACCATAAGAGTGGGGGGTTATTTGCTGATCGTCCGCTGTAGAGTTTGCTTGGAGGCGTCGTAGTGTCATGTTGTTTTTCAAAGTGTTGGTCGTTCTGCTCTTTGCAGATAGCTATGAAATATTTATTCCTGAGGTGAGTATGGTATTGTCTTTGTATTTTAATAATATTAAACAATAATGTGTAATCAAGTAATAGTATTAAAAATGTCTGTATCGAATGGAATTTATCAAAAGACCTTTAAGATTTATTACAGCTGTCAGGTCAATCATTACTCAGAGCTGATATCTGTAAAAGTTCACTTTATAATCCAAAATATGATAAATAATAATTATAATATTCTTTATTTATTATAAGAAAAGTCTCTCTAGCATAAAATACAGTAATGGAATTGTGGGCTTCAGACCTTCTGAGCTAAATAAAGAAGAATTATGATACATTGAAGAATAGATATTTTAAAAAAATATTTACCAACTGAAAACAGTGGGTACCGCTAGCCCAAGGGGTCAAGCAGAGGTTTACCAAGATAGATTTGAAAAAATCATATTTGTTTGGTGGAATTATGAGATTTGTACTTTGAGTTAGTTTCAGACGGCATGGCTGTAGGTTCTGAGCTTTGCCTAGAACAACTCCAAACACCAAACGACAAAACCCTCCTTTGTTTAATTAAAATGAAATGATATTTCAGCAAGATAATATTCCTGTCCAACAACATTTCGTGTTAAGTTGAAGAAAAATTCTCAGGACTAGAGGGTTTAGTTTCTTCTTATCTATCTATTTGATATAAAATTTAATTTCTGTCAGAAAAATGTGATAAAGTAATTGACAATAGTGGTCTATATTTTGAATTATAATTTTAATGTGTAAATATATTAAAATTTAATTTATTTTTTTCCTTGTTCTTCCCTACCTCGCCTTTTAGGCTATACAGGATTTTCCCGTGCCCGAGGGTAAGGGCGAGAAAATTTAAAATCTCATAACTTCATTTATTTGGTTGCCATGCAACTCGCGGTGCTGTACACACGTGTTAGCTCATTCGGCCACTCCATCCCCACAAAATTTAAATATATCCTATTTTATGCCCAAACACTTTGTATTGATTTAGTAAAACTATTTATCAGTTTCTTTTATCAATTTTTTTTTTCAGAGTCTTCCCTTTCAAATGCCAAAAATATTACAGCAGATTGATGAAATTGCGACAATGCATTTGTTTTCTTTAGTACATTGCATCAAAGGTTTCGATTTTTCTGGAGGTAAGTTTTTAAATTAGTTAATTTACTTTTTTTTTTAAATGTTTGTATTTTCAGGAATAATTGGAATATAATAGGGATTAGGATTTTTCTTTATTACAATGTTGCAACAGTTTAGTAATATTAAGAAATATATTTTCTAATGATAATATTGTTTTGATTTAGTTTATTAGCTTATCTAAAATATAGTTCATTTTATTAGGTGCTGACACAACTGATGAGCTTGGAACAGATCAAAGTGATAATTCAACTGTAAGTGAACAAGTTACAAGTATTTAAAACATAACTACTGTTTTATTAAATGGTGTACATTTAATATCATCTAACAAAAAATTTATAATACTCAATTATACTATTAATTAGACATTTCATGGATATTTAGTAGTATTAGTAAGTAGTAGTAGTATTGTACTATTTAGTAATATTGTTTTTCATAATGCTTTGGAAATATTCTTTTCATAATATCATTATATTTCATATGTAAAATATTTTACTAAATTCTCATGAATGCTTAGACCAGATTTTTTATCGCTACTTATTAATACTTAGATATTTATCCTGTTTCATTGATTTACAGATGGGTTGTTTTTGGGAATGTGTTCTAACAAACATTGACATGGTACGTATATACTTATTTTTATATTATTAGCTCATTTCAGGATGATTATGTTCTGAAATAACTAGTTGATTTTTAAGTATTTAGGTTTTTATTTACCAATTTATTAAGGATAAGCAAACTGTGAGTTAATTTGTACTTCATAGCGGGGCTGGAACTAGGATTTTTGTCAGAAGGGCAAACCACATTTTTTCACCACTTGCTGCCCCCTCTCAATATAAGTTGACATTTTATAATAATATTTTAGTTAATATATTTTGCAATAAATACTATCATTAGAAAATATTATCTCATTATAGTATTGTTTTTTTAAATTAAGGTCAAAACAACCAAAAAGCAGAAACAAATATTTTTTATTGGTGCTAAAAAAACTATTGCTCAAAATTTGCTGCCCTCTAAATTCAGCTGCTACACAATATCTGACACAAGCACATCAATGAACAACAAACAAGAATTTGTAAATCTGTTTGGCCATTTATGTGAGAAATAAATTTCATTACGAAATATCCACTTAATCTATTTAAAAAAAATAAGTATTATGATTATATAGATCAATCGATAAAAGTAAAAATAGAAGATCTAACAGACTTTGTTTTTTAATTTTATTAAATAACCCATGAAATAATTTTCAGATGAAGGATGGGCATTTGGAATATGTTGGATCTGAAGAGAATGAAATATTGAAGCATACTTTTGACGCATGTTCAAAAAAAGGCATGTTGAATTTTATTTGTAAACCTTGTAAATTAAAATATTAATCAAAAAGATGTTGTGAAAACACTTATTTTTTATATAACCACTAGTTATTTAAAATTAATATATATGTATTTTAATATGTATATTTCAGAAATTATGAAGGTCGTAGATGGTTGTCCATTGGCCCATATGTTTCTGTTGTGCGAATATGCCACTTTTCTTGAGGTAATCAAATTATTATCTATTAATTTACCTAATTGGATAATATTTTTAAGGTACAATATTTATGTTTATTTTACAGAAAGTTTAATAATAACTGAAAATTTCCATAAAGTAATTCTCAATGCTTTTAAACAATTGGATTACTTCCATAAAAATAAAAAATAATTCAAATAAGTTTTTAGAACATAATCTATAATATTACTTGTAGGAAAATATATGTTTACAATAATATTATTTATTTCTTTGAAATGTATTTAACGTGAAGTTCTCGTCAACCAAACTCCTGCCCTCGGCAGATCATTCCGTCTCTACTATTCCATCAAGTCCTTCTTCAACAGTCCTGTATTTTTTTCTCTTAAGTCATGTTAATACTTTATGTTACGTTAATAGGTTAGGTTATATAATATTTATTGGTTTCTCTAATTACAACTTCTCACTAACAATTAATCGAGAACTTTCTTTTGATTTTATTTCATGTATTTGTATACTTTTTCTTTGTATACCATTTTATATGTAAACCATATAAAATGTACTAGTGCTAAAGTGTTTAATTTTGTTATTCAGGTACAATTGCGATAACAATCGAAATTAACATTCAAATGACCTCTTTTTATTCTGTCAAACCAGACTGATAGACCAATGTTTTGTACCATGTTATTATTATTCTTTGAGGACTTTAGTCCCAGAATAAAATTATTGTTTTCATTAAATTTTATGTTGAGGAGTCTTGTCTCCAATACATATGCATTAAACCTTTAATGCTTTCTTGATCAGTTTTTTGTTTTTATTAAAATATTGTTTCTCAACAGTAGGAAATCAAGAATTCTTTTTGTTTATGATCTTTGTTTCTATTTATACATCTGTTTTACTTTGTAGTACAAATCACAAAAAGCAGAATTGATTCACTTTGCTCTGATTCTTCACTTGGAGATTTATTCTCTTTATGTTCATATTTATTTTTATTGTAATTTATGTTAAGACCTTCTTTTTCTTATTGGTCGATTATTTTTCTGAATAGGTAACTGATATTATCTTCTTACTGTGCTATCAAATACTAGTCATTAATAAGTAATAATGAAACTAGTAGGCCCGTGTGAAAAATTCGCACAGCATATTTTTATCAAATGCCAAATTAATAAGAAAATAAAATAGTGCAATGTATCAAAAAATAAAGAAATCAATTGTTACTTCATCGATAAATATAATTGACAAAGGAAACAAAATTAATTTAAATCTTCATTAATGTTTGGAACCAACATGTTTACAAATTTCAATAAGCTGTATCTTTGCTAAAACTTGTGCGACTTCGATGATTTTTTTTATCTTTTTGTAGAGAATTCAGTAAAATTTTATATAATCTTGGGCATAACCCAGCAAAAATTGTGTAATTTTTTAATTATTCACAAATAAAGTTTGTTTTCTTTCATAACTTGTTTGACTGAATTTTCGGGGTGATTGGACTATTTTGCCGGCCGGAAGGAGAAGGAAGCCTTCGAAATTGGTGGCTCAATCTTGTGATTTGGTGTAGAATTAACAATGATACGGCTTGCCGATCAAAAACACCATCAATAAATATTATAAACTCCTCCTCTCTCGATCATAGAGACCTCAAGTTGACAAAATGAGACATGTATTCAATGACAGTACTACAATTAACGTAAGGTTGTGTGGGTGGAAACCCTATGCCTTGCTTTATCTCGAAAATGCTATGTTTTTGGGCTTAAAAATGCAGGATCCGATAGGTCTGAAGGAACTATCCAGGGCTTGCCGTTTGCCTCAAAATCTTGAATGTCCAATTTGTCCCGTATCGATCTACAGAACTAACACCGTTCCAGTATGGAAGCCTAGAAAAATGTTTATATCGACTATATTTATTTTAGAAAGGAAAACAAAAGTGGAGAATACGATTGGCTAACCCCCCGTGAAATTCTGAATTCAACGGTACCCCATTTATGGTATTTGAGCATGACAGGAGCTTATATTTGGTACAAAATCGATTTCGAGCCTTAATGTAATAATATATGTGCGGATAGGTCTTTTTCTTTTAACTGGATACCCACTTTTACACATTTTGTCATCCAACCTTTTAGAGATTCATCAATAGAGTGTGTGCTACTTTAAATAGAGTGTGAGGAATACAGCATTCTTTTAGCAGTCCTTTTTCATTTTGGAATTATCTCTACAATAACGGACCTATGTTTATCTGACAACTGTTATTTATGTATGTTTCTTTAATTAGGCTCAATAGTAATAATGTTTCTGTTAACTTAATATTTGTAAATTAAAGCAATTTTATTATAATATAAAATAAGGCTGTGTTTTTTTACTTCACCACATTTATTCCACTATTACTTCTACTTCAGGTAATAAGCCATTTTCAAGCCATCTGTAAGACAAGCACTATTAATTTCATGCACTGTTGCGGTTTCATATTCTATGATGGTGGTATTATTCATATTTAATTTAACATTTTATGAATTATGTTACTAATTGGGTTGAGTCAATTTATTAATTTGTAAATTAATTCGAACTACAAGATAGAATGAGGTTATTTTTATATTTAAAATCAGATATACCAAGATAAGATCATCAGAAATTATTTATATTAAATTTTATATTTTAACATCCTTACTTTATTTAATCATACTTGCTAATTAGATTAAAGTCAAGTGTAATTGTGATAGGGAGGTTACATATTGTTATATTTTTGTTTATATTGTTCACCCATTAAGGATTATTATTAAAATATTTAAGTAATTAAAATTTCAATTTTGTAATTATACTAGCTGTTTAGTCCTTTTATATCTGCCCGAAAATTACATACTGTATTTAGATTTATGGAGATGTAAATTGATTCTGAAACTTTTCTTTTGTAGCTATTTTTTTCACTTATCAATATTTTAGTGTTATTAACGTCATATAATTAATGTCTGATGAGATCATACCTTAGTATATCTAATTTTAAATATAAAAATAACCTCATTCTATCTTGTGGTTCAAATTAATTTACAAATTAATAAATTGACTCAACTCAATTAAGGATATAATTCATAAAATGATAAATTAAATACGAATAATACCACCGTCATAGAATGTGAAATTGTAACAGTGTATGAAACTAATAATATTTGTCTTACAGATGGCTTGAAAATGGCTTATTACCTGATGTAGAACTTATAGTGGAATAAATGAAGTAAAAAAACATAGCCTTATTTTGTATTATTATAAATACTTCACCTAAAACAAATAAGCACACATGCAATTTTATAAGTTTTTTTTGGTTACTTCAGTGATTTTAAAGAATTTAAAGGCTAGCTTGAATATGTTTTGAACTAATACTGACAAGTAGATGTATGTAGAATTATTTCATTAGTTTTATCCAAGCCCACCTATTTATCTTCTAGTTATTCTTTACTTTTCTACCAACTCTTTGTAATCAGCATATTTAATAATAAAACAAAATTGTCAGGAATTTCAGTCGAGGTAGTTTTATTGGGTTTGCCGATGTTCTGTGTTTGAGTGACTGAAATTCCTGATAATTTTGTTTCATCCTTATAATTGATCAGTCCAGTGTTTTTCGACCCATCTCTAATCTTTAGTAATAAGATATTTTATTGAACAAAACTAATTAAAAAAAATTAAGTGGAATTTAATGGATTATAAAATATCTTCATAAAGACTCTATTCTTTCTATTATAGAAAAATATTTTGTCAAAATTATTTACATTCAAACAGTAGTTCAGTCCATTTATGTTTAAACATTGACAATATTTTTCTAATTTTTATTTTTTAGAAAGCGACAATTGATGTTTTCTCCTTCCACCAGGGAATAATTGGCTTTGCAAAAAATTCTACTACCCTTCTTATGGAGCTTAAGGCAAAGGTGATTTTTATGCTTTTATCAAATTTATTTATTTCTTTTCTTTTCCTATTTCTTTATTGCATGTATGTTATTGAATCATAAATTAATTTTTAATAACATGTAAGGTTTGCCTTATTTGTAAATTAATTTAAACTGTTTATGATTTGTGTTATTTATTTTTGTAAGTATTCCATCAAGGAAGAGTTGTCATCCATTAATATATCGTGCCTGTCACACGGTAAAAGCCTGTAAGTGCAAAAACTAAAATTATTCATAAGATAAAATTAATCCAGTATTTCATATTTTGCTAATACAATTTAATGTTTTATTGAAATAAATGTTCAAATCTGTCAAATAAAATCAATGCCCTCCTCCCCCCCCAAAAAAAATCTGTTCAATTTTAAATACTTCAATGCCCATTTGTCGTTTCAACAATCTTATGATTTATATTAAAATTTCTAAATATGATTAATAATTGCACTACCTGCTTCCATAAACCATTTAGAAAATATTACATATGTTGTTTTCTATTCTAATCATTTTTATTTTTATGTTTCAGCTTGAAATGATCCAGAAAAATATTCCAAAGGATGCCTTTAATCCTTTTATGTGAATCTTTTCAATTTTTCCTTTTTCCTTTCTCCACCTTAATCTTTACTTGTTCACCGTATTTTTTTTATAATGGTGTACTAAACATCAATGTTTCAAATATATTCCCTTCCTGTGTATTATGAACTTAATAGAGCATTTTAAAATGTATATTTTTGTATTCATTTTACCTTATCTTATTTATTACATTATATGCTTTGTTTTGTTGTTGAAATTTAATTTTATCTTTATGTAATGAAAACCATAAAATCAGAGTCTAATATAATTTGTTGATTACTTTGGGTTATTCAATATAAATTTGATACTATTTAGTTTTTCAACATTTTCAGAAATGTCGTCTGTTTCGATTTTTAAAACTGTTTATTGGCTTCAGGAATTGTCTCCTTGACAATTTTATAATGTAGGCACAACTAAAAATTATAATTTTTCAATTATTAATTTTTAAAAAAAATCCTTATTCCACGGAGTGAAAAAGTGAATTTGACAATCTCTCGACTGCAATAATTTTAATAGAAAATATTTATTTTGCTACAGCTCGTTTTAACTTCTTAAATGTTCAATTTCAGCTTCAAAGCAGAAAATATTTGTAAGTTAGCAAGGAAGCAAAAATAATGTTTGTTTGGTATATTCACTTTGATAGCGAGTATTAAACGTAACTAATAATTTATCTCTGTCTTCTTAGGTGATTTCCTAGTCTCTCCTGAATTTTTATTTAGGTCAGAATAAACCATTTTTCATCAATGTGCAACAGAAAATCTTCACAAAAAATAATGTTAAGCTGGTAAATGAAAAAAATAATATAACTAGAGAAGTTATGAAGCACATAATACAAAACTATGTGATAAAACATAAACAAAACACAACTTTTGCATATTTCATCATTTCTTTATTACTTCTGCTAGTTATCGGCTTGTAATGCCATTTTCAAGCAATCTGCAAAAAAATTTTTAAGCTTTATTATTTTAAAAATTCAGCATTTAACTTAAAACAGTACTGATGTTAATCACATTTTCAATTTAACAATAAATAAATCTTATCTCAAATGGGATTGAGTTAATAAATTAAATTACACATTAAAATTACATAATTTGTTTAAGTAGAAAAAGGTCTTTTCAGTCTTGATAAATAATTACTTTATTTCTAATTTATCTTTGACTAAGTGTGCAAGTGGGTGCATTACTATAAACGAATAAACGAGTAAGTTTTTATATATATTTATTTTATATATATATATATATATATAAGTTAGCTGAGTATAAGCCATAAACAATAATAGGAACTGTGTTACTAATAAGATTAACAAAGCATTGTAAATAAAAACAAACCGTATCTATATATATTGGATAAGTAGATAATAAAGTCAGTTGCTCACGAACCTGTGTACTGTTACTATGCCCTAAAACCCCTTTTTTTTCGATCATTCTTTCAGTCTAATCGTAAGTGGTGCCGAAACCCGGGAGGAATTCCGAATTTTACCGCGCGGTTAATAGTATCGCGAATTTCGGAAGAATCACTAGGCGAACCCACACAAGCTTCTAATCGCGACAATTACGATGGAAGAACAATTGAAAAAGCTGGAGTACCAACTTGCTCAGTCTACGGTGGAGAGACAGAAGTTGGAAGCGGAGCGTCAGAAACTAGAAACGCAGCTATCGAAAGCGACCGAAAACACGCAGATCGAGTTGCTTAAGATAAGGACGCAGAACTCGGCATTTATTCACGAGGTAATTAGCCAGTTAGAACCGTTCACAGGTGTAGTAGGTGATCTCGAACACTTTATCAAAGGCGGTGACCAGATTAAGACTTTGATTACCGCCAGACAGGAGTCAGGCACGTTGCTTGAGTCTGACGTAAAAATATTGGAAGCCTCTTTGATTGGGCGTATCTCGAGGCGGGTTTTGAACGCCGTACAGGGCGATTTGACGGTCTCCTGGGAGACGCTGAAGATACGGCTCAAGAAGCTATACGGCGGTGGCAGGTGGACCCCGGAAGAGGACGTTTTTTATCTGTTTAAAGAGCGCAGAACCCAGGGCCAATCGGAAGGCGAGTTCGCCGAAAAACTATTGGTGTTATACAATAGACTGACGGAGAAGATGGTGGAAACATGCGGCCAGGCGGAGGGAGCCCAGAAGATGGAGTTTCTAAGGGGCGTGCTTAAGGTACAACTAAATCATTATTTGGACCGTCCGGGATCACTGCCCAGAGACCGCGAGTTTATCGAGTGCGCCCACGACCTGATCGATGCGAGGGAACGGAACGAAACTCGCTTCGAAAAACCGGAAGCGGAATGGACGGAAGTGAGATCACCGAGAAGGCGGCAACGCAGTATTACGAGGAGGAGTAACACTAACGGAGGCTTCGAAAAGCGACCAAGCAAGGGCTTTGAGGACGGGAGACGGAAGCCTGGGCGCCGTTGCTACGAATGTAATCGAACGGGTCACGTAGCGGCCCAATGTAAGCTCACGAGGTGCTACGAATGCGGCAGGCAGGGGCACGTTGCGAGAGAATGTCCAAGGCGCAACCCCCGACCGAACAGGAGGGAACCACAGCACGAGCCCATGGAGATCAACAACCAGGACTGGAGCGGAAGACGGACTGGCAGGAGAGGCGGGGGACGCTACACCAGCGGAGAATCTTCGGAGGACGAAAGCATCCGGTCGGGGCGCAGCGGTCCGACTACGAGGAGGCAAGAGGTGAGTGGAGGGAATCCCTGGAGGGGGGGACCGTCAGGAACGGAGGTAGCGGTAGGACGCGCGCGCTCGGACTGAGGACGCGACAACGGGTGGGGCAACCGACCGGGGGGTTTAATTATTAACAACAGCGCGAATACAGGACAGCGGACAAGGTTGCCCGTGGCGAGACTGAGAGAATCCGGCATCAAATTTCTCATTGACACGGGGAGTACGAATTCCTTGATCAATATAGGGGCGGCGGAGAAACTGGGAATCTGGGCGAAACGGGAACGATGCGACTGTGCGGTGTCAACGATTCATGGCAGGGGTCAGACGCTGGGGGAGACACTTTTTGACCTCAAGGAACTCACGGGACGTGACTCGCGGATCACGATACACATCATTTCGCAGTTGATGCAGGGTCAGGATCTGATAGTCGGGTGTGACATTTTAAATCACGTTGGGTTTAAAATTAAGAATAGGGACGAAACATGGCGGTATAAAATAGGGGAACGATACTACGAGGTAAAGATGATAGGAAGTAGAGGACTCATGGAAGTCGGGGCCGTGGATTGCATCGAAGACTCGCTGGCGAACTTAGTCGCGCAAAACGAGGATTTATTCTACCACGAAAACGAGTACCTACCAACCACGGGTCGAACGGTTCATAGAATAAATCTGAAGTCGAAAGCCGCAGTTTACGTTAAAAATCGGCGTTACCCGCAAGCCATGAGAGAAATTATCGGAGAACAATTGGCGGAACTTCTTAAGCAGGGCATTATTAGACAGAGTAATTCCCCCTTTAATAGCCCTCTGTGGGTGGTAGAAAAGAAGCAGGGCGGCAACGCGAAACAGTATCGAGTCGTAGTTGATTACAGGAAACTGAACGAGGCGACTGAGGACGAGCGGTATCCTCTTCCTCGGGTCGAGGATATTCTGGATCGACTGTCAGGGGCGACTATTTTTAGCACGCTGGACTTAAAGAGCGGGTATCACCAGGTCCGGATGGCCGAGGAGGATATCGGTAAGACGGCCTTTTCGTGGGAAAGGGGACACTTCGAATTCGTTCGAATGCCGTTCGGGCTGAAAGGGGCCCCACTGACTTTCCAACGCCTTATGGACGAACTACAGCGAGGACTGGGCGAATCTTACTCACAGGTCTATATGGATGACCTCATCGTTTTTAGTGGAACTGAGGAGGACCACGTGCAACATCTCAAACGCGTTTTTGACAGGGTGCGCGAATTCGGCCTAAAGTTATCTCGAGAAAAATCTCAATTTGGGTTACGAGAAATCAAGTTTCTAGGACACGTGGTCTCACGGAACGGGGTACAGCCGGACCCGCAGCGGGTAAAGGCCATCCTGGAAGCACCCTTACCTAAGAACGCCCGTGGGGTTAGGCGATTTTTGGGTATGATAAATTACTATCGCAAGTTTATACCCGGGATAGCGGAACTCACGCATCCATTGACCGAAACATTGAAAAAAGGGAGACGGTTTCAATTAGGTCCAGACCAGCTAGCGTGCATTAAGAAATGCCGGGAGATTTTGACCACTCGGCCACTACTAGCTTTCCCCGATTTCGCTAAAATGTTCAAAATCACCACAGACGCCAGCGAGGTAGCTATCGGGGCCGTGCTCTCTCAGAATTTCGAAGGTGGCGAGAAACCACTAGCATACGCGGGACGGAAGTTGAATGAAGCAGAACAACGCTATAGTGCAATCGAGCGTGAGCTTTTGGCGGTAGTATGGGCTGTGGAATACTTCCGACCATACGTTTACGGGAGACGGTTTCAGTTACTGACCGATCATAAGCCTTTATTGCACCTCGGAACTCTTAAAGAATCTTCTGCACGGGTATCACGGTGGAAGGAGCGTCTAGCGGTTTACGACTTCCACGTAATACATAAAAAGGGCGTCGACAACGCGGTCGCCGATTGGTTGTCACGAGACCTAGTAGTAAACGCGATCGAGGACGAGGAGGTCCCGACAGAACCATTCGCGCTACGATATCTACGCGAGTGGGCGGAAGGCGGACCAGAGATTCCCTTAGTCCAGAGTGAGGCCGAGGAAATTGCTACACCGACGGACAGACCCGCGGAACTGCCTGAAGTAGACGAAATAATTAACAATAAAAGACTGCAGATCATTATAAAATCAAAGCAGGACTCCGGAATAGAAACCAGGGCGAGCACGTATGAAGGTTCGTCAACTATATTAGTTCGCACCCCCGCATCTATAGATGAAAACGCGTTAGAACGTATATTCGTGGAATTCAGTAACCCAGGACGGAATTGCTATGTCTATGTGGGTAATCGGATGATTGCGGAGA